TAGCCTTAGTGCCGTACAGATCTATTGTACTTTTCTGTGATTATTAAATAAAACAGACTCTGTGACCTGATATGTAAATATCAGATGACAAGTATGCTAATTTGACGTTACATTATAAAGTATTGAGCAAAATCCGTTCTTGGTAAATCCGGACGATAAACCTGGTCACACCCAGTCATTGTATAATTGTAGGTGTGTGCCTCGGATGTGTTCTGGCGGTTTCGTGTGTGAGTCATATTAAATAATGAATATCCGAATAAGATGCAACCCTAAAAAAGAGACACGGGTGACTCATAAAACGGAAGCATTTTTTGAGGGAGATACCTTTCTAGATATTTGACCTGAATGCGGTGACAATGCCGGTGACTCAATAATTTGGCCCAGAAACCTACTGACATAGTGAAACAGAGAAAATGAGGAAAAAAAAAGAAATTCACCCAAAAGAGAACAATTAACAGCTGTAAATATATGTCCTTGTGTGGGTTGTCAGTCATTTATAAAAAGGGGGCAAATGTAGACACCTTTATATAATTCTGTGCAGTGACACAGTCATGAGTCGGAAGTCCATTACAGCCATATAAGGTATGGATACTTGGTTGACATAAATTGGAACCATGACAAATAAATTTATATGCAATATGTGCACGTATTTTAATATGACCATATAACTTACTTCCCACAAGAAAAAGAGCTCCAAATTGTGATAAATAGTTTTTTGTGTTTTTTCTTTTCGTACATTTGTTTAGGATTTTCCATCCACATACATATAAGTAAGCACACGTATCATAGTTGATGATTTCTGAAGACGCCGATACACAGTAAAAAATAACCACGAGGAAATGCTCTCCGTTATAATCTTTCCAGTATATATTTAGAGACATGTTCCGCATATTTCTGAAGTGTGTTGATGCCTTACAATGCATAGAACAGTAGTTTGAACTACCAACAAATTTAGGAGTAACTGTGGCCCCGTTGGTAAGACGTTGGCTCGCGTTCGATCCTTGTGTTAACCGAGAATATTCATCGGGATTTTCCGGCGAGGTTACCTCATTGTCAGTGGTTCGGGACAGAGGGCACGGCAAATGGACAACGCATATAGTCGTTCGGATGGGACAAAAAATCGCGGTTCTGTTTACACATTGGTGTGCACGTAAAAGAATTCTTGACGGTTGGAATTCTATATAAAAGTAGACCGTACGAGTAGGTCGTATGCCAATCTTCATTAGCCCAGTCGGTCCAGAAGCGTGGGACACTAAACCCCCATTTCATTTCTTTTCACCAATAAACTCGGTTCATGTTTCAACATAGGTAAAAATGGGTGTATTTGTTAATGAAACGGAAATAGAAATTATTTTGCATTTTTGTGTTTTCTTGTGACTCAGTAATCTTGGCCTACAAACCCAGTGACACAATGAATCAGTGACGGGAACTTTACCTGGATGAAGAAAAAAATATGTCAAAATGACACAGTTAGCCAATAGATAATATCGTTATTTATCTAAGCTGGTTAGTATAGCAAACCAGGGTGATAAAAAAAATTCTGATTATGCAACAAATTCTGTATATATGTCGATTTAATCAAATGGGATACATATATATTTTAAAAGTATCCCCCAGCTTATTATAAATCAAATTTATTAAAGTTTTTTTTTTTCAGTTTATAGGTGGATTTAATAAAACAGGATACATTTATCTATGTATTATCGGCTTATTAACTTCAAATCCGAACTTTGCCCCAGTGGTTGTCGGAGTTTGGCACACTGATCAGCAGTGAATTTCGCTAGGCCGCTAGAATCACTGATAAGGATGACATCGATGCGACTTAATGAGCCAGAAATATTAACTTTTTCCTGCGACAAATTAAATTCTAAAACATTTCTTTTTTTATGTATTAGAAAATTAAAAAAAAGGCGTTTGACGTATTTGTAGGTAAAAAATTATTTTTTATTTAGTGCAAATGGGTATTAAAATGAGAAAAATGAGTCAATGATTGACGCCGCGTGATGAGACGTCACGTGTTAAAGGTAGTCATCTTTTACAGAGATATTAGAAGACTTTGGTAATCCTCTGTGAAACACATTGGGAGTTTGGGTGACCGCTCCAGTTTCTTCCCACTTCTAAAGATCACTGCGCAAAAGTAAATTACTGAAATGAAAATATCCCATTAGTCTCCAAATGATCTGGGTTGTATTGTGTGGACGTTAAACCCTCCTACTTGCTGGAGAAAGTTCAAATTTTTATTATCTGCTTAAGAAACCTGAGACTGGTCTTCCCAGCAGAAATATCGCATGGTAGCTGTGTCCTATGGTGTTCTATTTCAGCTACTTCCCGCGTCGCTATATAGAGAAGAAGAAAAAACGACGTCGCCCTTAAAAAAAGCCACGCGTTGCCTTTTGCATCACGCATCGCGTCTCGCTATTTAAAATTTTATTTCATTTATAGATTGGCATCCCTAAGGGAGACTTCAATATATTACAATTTACAATATATTCTTAATGACTAACAAACTTGTTTCTTAATTTAGCTGTACATTCAATAATTATATTCTCCTGTTACATTGAGCGTTTCATCGCCAAAACTACAAACTATATCCGTTTAGAAAAAGCGACGCCCTATGCGATACAAAGGGTGGTAAACGCGTCGCTTTTTAAAGGGCAACGTCGACTTTTTAACATTGATAAAAGCGACGCATGAATTTTTTCGAAGGCGACACGGGAAGTGACTGAAATAGAACACCATAGTGTCCCCATCATCGCAGTTGTCTTAATGTAGTCTACACCATTGTCAAAAGCGTGACCTTCGTTACCACTTGCAGTGGCAGCATCATTTCCCCGTATAATCTCCGTCTTCGTAAATTTGATCATCGCTGAAAAATCACTATAACTTCACCATCGAGATAAATAATATCACATAAAGAATTAGTAAATAATATCACATCAAGAATTTGTCTGACCACCAGTGTAAAATGAACGAGTTTTTATGCTTATGAAAAAAACCCCAGAGTAATATAATATATAATATTGATTGGCATCCAAGGATCAAGAGAGCGAGACGACCTAGGCATTATGTAACTAAACATGTTTCTATTATTAATTTAGTATCCAAGAATATTGAGAATTTTCTTTTTCTTTTTTTCTTTCTTTCTGGGAATTAAAAATGCAACTTTATTTTTTTAAAGGCCTTCGAGAAGTATGGAGATACTTCTACAAGAAAGATATAGAGATTTATTAAAGATACATTATGGGAGATTAGATAAAGAGTGGCAGTTCTCACTATAATAGTTAAAAACTAGATGGGATTTGCTGAAAATTGCAGTCAAATTGATCCAGTCTGATGTGAGAATTTAGCGATTGAATTTTCGGCTTAGCCTCGATCATAATTACAAAAGTCGGTACGATAAAAAACATAGTCTCGATTATCCATTTCTCGATCTAATCATGAATGAGCATTGGGCAGCAGATGAAATTCTTATCCAGTAAATATCGCAGGCTAGCGATGACATCGAGTGTTGATTATGGTCTGGACAAGTTAATTAATGTCTAATTAATAATTTAGATAACATTTCAGGCCCAAAGAAAGACCTACAATAGGCAGATTTAGCCCTTGCATAATGTATGTTTAATACTTTATTTATCTAAAATACATAACGATAAAACCAATAGTACCCAATGTAAACTTTAAATGATTTGAATAATATTTGAACCAATTGGTCAAAAAAGATTACAACGTCGTATGTGGGTCTTGCCAAGATTTCTACTGGGATTTTGTAGATCAAGCAAACATTTAGGGAACAAATACTATGTACATTAACCGCGTCAACATTTTCAGCATCGCCATTGGAAGTGGGCGACGTTTCAGTTTCAGACTCAACATTAGAACTAGTGATACGGAACACTGACATTGAGGATCACACTTTGATAAAGTAGACTGCAATAGAAAATAAATTTAGCAGTTTCAAGTGTTGTATGATTTCAATTTTAACTACAAAAAGAGTCTGTTTTAAAAACTGAAGTTGGCATTATATATTAATTGTTTTCGGTTGCAGGTACTTGGTGGCTTTGCCTATGGGTGCAAGACAGTCTGGCAACGACCCTGCTTGTGCCGGTATCGAAATAACAATTTTAGATCTTTGTTCACATTCTTTTAGTCGTCAGATTATTTTGCATTTTTTTGGTTTCTTGTGACCTCAGCCATCTTGGCTCACAAACCCTTTGACCCAATGAGTGTTTTCCCCCGATTCAATATACCCATCAATAGATGGCTATGTATGTCAAATATCTTACTATGGGATATTCATTAATAGAATATTAATTATCTCCATTAATTATCCCCTTCCTTTTATTTCACTTATAATTTTGGTTGTTCGTCAAGCGGATTATATTACTCACATTGTCATTTCATCTTATAATTGTGACAATAATTAAATATTCAAATGATCCATAGATATGTGTGCACTTAAGTCATTCCCAATAACATCACCAAGTTAATTGCACTCAACGCTTTCATTCATATTATGAAGTGCTTGTTTCCGATATCTATTATCCGTTTCTTTCCCTGCTATATTGTGACACAACGGAATCACGTAGACTTGATATGCAAATATGGGAATAATCATGAGTTTTACAAACAATATTCAATATAATCATAAATCGGTGCAGATACAACAACCCCTGAGTTTGTTCTACACAATATGCAATTATGTCACGGGGCGTGTTCAGAAAGTCTAGGGGTTTACCCGATAATTTTATGAAATCAGAAGCTCCAAGACGTTATTTCGATAAATGCAGGAGAACAAAAATATGCTCTGCGCGAGTAATTACGAAATGTATTTAAAAATTTATCAGATGACACATGCTGTAAATATGATAGGCTATGATTACTATGCTGGTCGATAGAGTAATATATAGCGCGCGACAACGTGACTGCATATGATTTGAATCTATATTTAGCTAAAGGGTTTATCCCCGTACGTTGCATGACCTAGAAATGCAAAAACTCTCCGGGAATTGGCTTTACCGCCGAATCATCCTTGACACCTTAACAGAGAATTACTACTATTCATTGAAGATTACTCATATAAAACTTAACTGTCATAAGATTTCAAAGCATAATTGCTCAAACAGATGTCCAGACAACATCTCTGACTTCAAAGACTTTTACAGAAGAATTTATTAATATTTTATAGTGTTTCAAAAACGCTATAAAGATATCTGTTCAACAAAATTTACGTTTTCTATACTCAACTTTAGTTCAACATGTAAGTATATTTATTTATATTACCCATGTGTGTTATTGTGGAGTTATTTCTCGATGCCGAGACTGTAAGACGAGATCAGAATTTGTAATGCACCAAACTAATATATTAGGGCAGATACATCAGTAAAATCATTATACACTTATGAGAATGTGTAATTAACATAAACCGTTGTACTGCTATGGTTACGTGTCTAATCATTCTATTTATATTAAGATTGCTATTAAGTTTCGGGGACCACGTGGCTAAGTGGGTAAGACGCTAGCCTGGAGGTCGGGTGTTCGGTCCCTGCATTGGCCGAGAAAGTTCATCCAGATTTTCCGGCGTGGTTCTCCCTTGTCAGTGATGCAGGACGGAGGGGCTGACAAGGAAAGCTGTCTAGTCGTTCGGATGGGACGAAAAACCGAGGTCCCGTGTACACATTGGCGTGCACGTAAAAGATCCCTTGGCAGTTGGAATTCGATATAAGAGTAGGCCGTAGTGCCGCTGTCCGGGCAAAATTTCCCTCATAGCACACTGTATGGCGTATGCCCGTCTTCATTAGCCCAGGTTAGGAGCAGAACAGTAGGACGTTAAACCCCATTTCATTTCATTTCATTTCTATTAAGTTTCGAAATAAAAGAAACAGGACGGACGCCTGATTTTATACGAGGTGGCGTGGAAGTAGTTACTTTAGTAACGTATTATATCGGCTAGCGTGGAAAGGATATTTTACTTGCACTATCGACTTGTGCACTCTAGCTTTCGTTTTCAGTCTACTCTGTCTGGTAACCGGATTTTAAAAAAAATCCAGATAGCACTTCGACCGCCATTTGATTACAATTATACAACATATTAACCATGTCCCCAGTTAGTAACCTATCTACTACGTATAGACAATTGTAACTATAGACAACTCAACCCACATTATATGAAAATAGGTTTTTCGGAGAAGACGGCTATTATTAATTTAAACGCCTGTCTGATTTCCACGCAATAGTAACGCACTTGTTTCGCTTACAGCACGCGACATATTTCACGTGACATAGCCAATAAAATAATATAAAAATGAATAACAGGAAAATCCAGTCTTTTTATGGTGAATTTGTATTATCATTTTAAAGGGAATTTCTTGAAGATGGGAAAAACCATCGTGACACATAATCAGCATGTTTCTTGTTAGACTATCGATCCAAATTGATGATGCGTTAGTCGATCGTTCGTCCGTCCGTCCGTCATCCGCAGAGTATGTAGTCGAAATTATTTAGGTCTACAGCATTATGCAATATGTGTAGCATTGAAAAGCGTTGACGCGGACATGATGAAGCCGCTTTGCTTCAGTGTCCATTGGTACGACTTATACATTAATAATGTATTCAATAATTTTTGTATATGGCGGATACTCTTTAATCAAATGGGACCACGGTCCCTTACTGACAAAGAGCGTCGGCTCACTGACCATGGGAGGCCCTATGTTCGATTCCGGTGTTACCCGAGAATGTTCCCAAAGTGTGCCAGGCGAAGGGCCTGGCAATGACCAGTGTCTAGTGTTTCTGATGGTTGAAAATAAACGAGGCCCCGTGTACACGTTGGCGTGCACGTAAAGGAATCATTGATATATCCGCGGTCGGATTAGTAACATAAAACGGAGAGCAGAAAACGAATTAAAATGAAGAACCCTGATTCCGTAAACATCGAACAAAATATGTTAGTAAAATTGAGCTATATGTATGATATACAATGTCAATAGTTCTGTCCATGACACAATAAATGATTTATACAACCTTGAACTATTCGTATCAGGATGCATAATAACTGTACTTACCGGGGTTTTCTTTAGCGTGCAATAAGTGTTCAGAGCAATAAGTGTAATCGACCCTGAAAGCTTAAATAGAGTCTTTGTGAAATCTTTGTGACGAATTTAAAAGTAATATATAATAATTACACATAACATATATGGCGTTTTTGTGAGTCGATTAGTTTAGGTTTTGATTTGCTAGTACGATTTGGTATGATTTCGATTTGATTAGCTATGGTCCACAAATGTGAAATTTGATAATTACGATTTGGTAAGATGGCTGCCATCACGGACACCGATCAGAAAAAAAATTGTCTCTGCTAATTATTGATGACTTGTTAAAGACAAATGAAGGTTATCTACGCAAAAAAGGAAAAATGGTTGCCGTTAGAAACAATCTCCTATGTCCAACAAGTTCAAGTATTTTTTTGAAAACTGAAGTGACAAAACATGTAAAAAGTTTACTGAGAAAACCTAGGATCGAGGAATATATTGAAAAAACTGTAAATGAAAAAAATTGCTTAGAGGTGATCTAACATTTTTGTGGACTATAAAGTTAACATTAAACACGTCAAATGCGTTTTTAAAAAAACATTTTTTATGGAGAAAAACAACAATAAGCATTAAAAATTACTTACGACTTCGAACATTCCGCCATTTTGAAAAAGTCAAATCTAATCGCCTAAACACCTCCTGGGACGATTAGGTCGATTTGCCTAATCAGTTGAGTTAAATCGTCTCACAAATGTAACGATTAGCATAATCAACTTGGTTCACAAATGCGTATAATAGCTAATCGGTCTAATCTAATCGGTTCACAAAACGCCTATAGATTACAGTAGGACGTCTAATAAGGTATAAAGTACATGCGATGAAATTACAGCTGGGCTTATAAATATAAACATAGATTATAGCATTGGCTACTGATTACCAATAGAAATTCAATGTTGGAAGAAGGACAATAATGAGAGTAAGGTTCATATTACTGATCAGAATTCATAAACACTGCACGGGTTATTAAGTCAACGTCTAACACTTCGATAGACAGTCTTATCTTAGCGAGTCCACGAATTGCCGTCACACATAATTGTCTAGGATCAGCTATATATGATTTGAATTATTATTTTTTTATTTCATTCAAACAAATTTTCTTTGTCATAGCTTTTTTTAAAATTTCGACTAGTGCTTGTGCCCTGCGGAAAGCTATCACACTGATCCGCAGTGAATATTCGCTTGGCCGCTACAATCACTGATAAGGATGATATCGATGCGACTTAATGACTACAAAATATTAACTTTTTTCTTTCGACAAATTAAATTCTGAAACATTTTTTTCATTTATTAGAAAAATAAATAAAGTCGTTTGAATTGTTTGTTGGTAAAAATCATTTCCTATTTAGGGTAAATGGGTATTAAAATAAGTAAAATTCACCATTTAGCCCGAATCCGTGACGTCTTATGAAAACAATGCACGCGCTATTGAGCCAATGATGGACGCCGCGTGATGTGACGTCACGTGTCGAAACAGTCATCTGTAACAGAGATATTAAAAAATCTCTGTGAAACAGATCGGAAAGCTATGACAAAGAAAACATTGGGGCCGATTTAAGATTAATGACATGACAGTGAAGGACCTGTATACTTAAAGGAAGATAAGCACGCTAAAGAAGAACTCAGAGAGAGAGAGAGAGAGAGAGAGTTTAACGTCCACTCGACACAAACTAGGTCATTTCGGGACTAACATGTGGTTCAATTTTGTTTTCAATAATTCGCTTGCGCGTAGGGGTCTTTGGCAGTGGGGAGAAACCGGTGTGGACCCGGAGAAAACACACCAGGTTGGACAGGCGACCCTACTCCTTGTCACGTACAACCAGGGAATCGAAACCACGCCAGTTGACTCAATGACAGACCTTGTGATACAACGCGCACGCGCTATCCATTCGGCTACCCCCCCCCCCACACACACACACCCCGTGTCATGATGCATAGATAGAACTGTTGACATATCATACATATAGCTCAATGTAACCAACATTAGAAGCAGTTATACATTAAATGGAATTATAAGTAACGTGTCTCATAAAACAATTATATTGTTCTGTATCGAGTAAACAGTTTAAAGTGGAATAATTAAAAAAGTCGTACAATATAGATGTTGCACATCTTCACTCCAAATTGCAGGTCCAGCATTCAGATAGTGTTAACATAATAAAAAGTTTTTAAAAAATTTATACCCCATTCAACTTTAAATAGTGTACTATTTTTTTCTGGGCCACCACATATTGTTAGGAAGTGTGCTTCCGCAATAATTTCTTTGTGCAATAATTGAGAACCTCCCATGACCAAGGGAAGAAATGTCTGTTTGGTGAGTCGCTTTATTTGTCCCGAGCCGTGTCTTTTACGATTAACAAATAATTAATACATATTGCATAAATACCAATTTATACATTTCTACCATTCCAAATAGACTAGTTTGCCAGTGGGAAACTATGACTGTAATAGAGTGGTTCTCAACCTTTTTTTTGCCAACACATGAAAAATAGCGGCAAACCTGGCTAAATATATATGAAAAATATGTAAGTTTTGCAAAAAAAAAACAAAAAAAACAAAAACCCATGGCAAGTCATAGAAGGCACACAACCGTAGACACATACTTGTCCCATATACAAATATAATGACTCAAACTAAATTAAGAAAAAACACAGCTATGAACTTTCTTTTATTGCAGTGTTTTATCAGCCAAATAGCTGGCTTCCTTGGTGAAATTTTTTTTAGTGTGCTGTTCAAAATTTCTCGGCACACTTAGGAAGATCTCGCGGCACACGTTGAGAATCAATACTATAATATAACTCTGATATAGACTAATGCATTTTTAATATCCCGTAACATAAACATGTTACTGGATTTTGGTGTTCTGGTTTTATTCCTTCTAGTCGTCAAATTTGGGGATTTGGAAGAATATGTTATGCAGATTAAATCCACCATCAGATTGTGAGAAGAACTACTGTCGACATTTATGGTGTGCATTTAGTGCCAAAAATCATCAATAAAAATTATCAATATTTCGAAACAATGTAGAAATTTTACTACAGCATATTTAGAGGTTGTTACTTGTCACATGTTATATAATGGGCGTTTTTAGAACAAACATTGAAAATAAACTTTGAAAATCAGTCCACATCGCAAAATTCCTGTATTTCATGGTACAGTGCGAGTTTATTACAATTTGTACTATAATGAATTGCATATTCCAACCTATTATTATTTGCAACATTAAAGCACTTTTTACATATTGTTAACCTATTGACTGTATAAACTATTCTCCAGTAAGTATAGATTACATTATTTCCAAGAAATCACAAAACAAAATGTATCTCCCGACGGTATATAAGCAGTGGTTTTGTGTGAAATTAAAATGTGTCTGGCGGTTTGTATTCTCCTTTCTCTTTAAAACATTAGATAAAAAAGTGCCCATCCCCTTCTCGACTACCGCTGATTAGTGTGTGTGTGTGTGTGTGTGGAGGGGGGGGGAGGTATAATGTGGCTTGAATAGGGTTATAATACCTATTATATGTATAATAAAGGCCCAATTTAAAAAAAAAAAATTATTTTACTTTACAGAGCCTTGACATTATGGCGGTCGCTGTCCCACAGTTCCCATACATCGATGTAAGTATAAACGAAGGTAACTTCTGCTCCTGATAAAAAAAAACAAAAAAAAAAACAAGAGAAACAACCGCTCTCCTACTGAAAGCCTTCGGGTGTTTTAGAAATCATTATCCGTTACGTTCTTCTCGTTTGAACAGCTCCTTTATGCGTGCATTTTGTGGATACTGATATTGAACGTCAATTTGTTTCATCCCCAATTATAATTTATTCCGATTTTATTCCAATGTTTATAATATCAGAAATCAAAATGTCGATTCTTAATATTTTAACAGTTTAACAACAGATTCACGTCGATGGAACCAGAAAATAATGATTACAACGGATCGTACCAAGGAATCCCGTTGAACTACAACTGTGATATAGGAGGCCTACCTTCTGTTATTAGACGTAAGTTATAGCATAATTTACTATTAAAATTTGTATATTAAAGATACATTATGTAAAGATACATTAGATAAAGAGCTGGCAGTTCTCACTATGATAGTTAAAAACTAGATAATGTAAAGGGAATTTAGTGAAAATTTCAGTCAAATTGATTTTAGCGATTGAATTTTCGGCCTAGCCTTGATCATCATTACTAAAGTAGGTACGATAAAAAATCATAGTCTCGATTATCCATTTCATGACTAAATCATGAATGAAAGTTTAGCATCAAATCGGATCCTAATCCAATAAATATCACAGGCTAGCGTTGACATCAATAGTTGATTATGGTCTGGATGAGTTAACTAATGTCTAATTAATAATAATTATCTAGACAACATTTCAGACCTAAAAAAAAAGACCTGCAATAAGCAGATTGAGCTCTTGCATAATGTTCTGTTTAAGGCATGTTTGGGCTAAAATTAAATTACGCTAATTTAAATCCCACAATATATCGATGTGAAGGTCAGATTTCAAAATAAGCCCACAATAACGGTACAGGTAAAAAGGGCATAAATGGGAAAATGTGAAAATTTATGCAACAAATGAAAAAGTGTATATACTTTGTTTAGACACAATTTAATCAAACTGCCTTATTATCAACTATTACGAAATTATTATATCAGTCCCACAACTGGTCTATAGCAGGGATTTCACTGCACATCAGCTAGGTTACATCAAATAAGCAAATAAAAATATTTTAAATGATAATTAATTAAATCAATTACTTATCGTTGTGCCATTTTTCTACGCCCACATTGAAATTTATATGCGTTATTTAAATTAGTGAAACCACGAAGCCTATTGAGTTTCAGCAATTTACAGTAATTACTTCTAGAGTTATGGCCCTTGTTTCACTTTGTTAACCCATGTTAATGCTCGACTGATGAAAGTTATCATTCGATATGTATGAAATTTATATGCACCATTTAAATTTTTAAAACAGAGGCCTATTGAATTTCAGCAATTTCCGTCAATTTCTAGAGTTATGGCGATTGTGAACCTTGTGAACGTTTGAATGACAAAAGTGATCATGTGATCTATATGAAATTTATATGCATTATTTAAATTAGTAAAACGCAAAAGCCTGTCAAATTTTAACAATTTCTGTCGATTACTTCCAGAGTTGAGACACTTGTTTCAGTTTGTAGAACCTTGTAAACCCTCAAATGACAAAATTTATAATCTGATCTTATGGAACTGACTTGTAAAGGTCCCCAATTACCTACAATGGAATAAATATGCGACAACCCTTGTCGGCCGCACTGACGATTTAGCTGCTATGGGCGTATGTTTCGTTGCCCGGCAACCTATCTTTCCACTACTTATCAGCTGTGGTGGCGATGTAATTTTTACGGTAACATTATATTACCTGTGACATTTTTACAGTGCATGATGCGAGACATGTTAATTGCTTTTATTTAAACCATTTTATACGCGTGATATATTTTGAATTAATAAGCTGTTCTTTACTATTCATTATACTAAATTAATAATGGCCACCCAACAGTTGGTGCTAAAAAGCAGGACGTTTAAAACCATTCCAGTTCATTATTACCAGGGTTGACTGTATTGGGCTAAGCAAGGCTAAGAGGTCAATTTATACCTTTGAGCAAAACATTAGATAATTAATATATTTAAATTCTGTAATTTTAGTATATTACATTCTATAATTGCCATATATACATTATTTATATAGAATCGATGTTTGAAAATCTACCGACTGACTATAACTCATTTGAATACGCCGCAATGTCTGAAATACAAATAAACCAAGGTAATTAACATTTATGTCATTGCCAAATGTAACATCTAAAGTCAAGAGTTTGTGGAAGTATTAATTCACTGATAGTTTAAAACATTGCTAGTGCCTCTTTATCGGGGCCGTCGGAATTGATTGGGCCGGTGGATTCAGCAATCTGAACGACAGACTCACCCTACCTGCAGAGAAGTGACTCTGACACAGTGAATAGCCATGATATCCATATGACGTTATCTAAACGTCACAGGTCATGAGGTCACATCAACAAACAAATGTAAACACCATCATTATGATCATTATCAACATTACGAGACACAATGTTACATTTGTTACATTGTAAACAATAGCCTTCTTGCAGCCTTTAGGACTGTATAATCCGTACAGAACGTCTTATCGCTTCTTCCAATGATTTTTCACAAAAATAACATCATCTACAACTCTAGATTTGACATCGGCTTATTGGCACTATTTTGTGCTTCGGTCGTGTCTATTTTAGATATACACAATCAATTCTGTTAATGTTTTTAGCTTGGGGATTGACTAAAAGTTAATTTATTTCACTTATAAACAAAAATTTAAAACTTTTACGCAATTTAAAAAAAATAGCCAAATTCTGGCTGGGATTACTGAGCAAAATGGCCATTCACTGTATACGTGCGAAAAAAAAAGCCAGCTACCGTTTAATTTTCGTACTTTAGTTACGTACGTGGATTCAGTAGTGTAACAGTCAATATTAAAAGACAAACACAAGCAGTAATTCTATGGTTTAGTTGATATGGTCTATAGCATTAGGAAGAAAACATAACAAATTAATTCGATAATATATGTAATTCAGGAAAGTCTCTTGTCTTTTATGCTTGTAAACGGTTAATGTTTATGTTATTAGTGTACACGACTTTAAATGTTGTTTTTATTTGTTTTCAGTATTTACAGAAGAGGTAGATGAAGACATACAGAATTTCATCATTGAGCATGATGCATCAAATAATTTTCCAAATATTTTTCCAATGTCAGCTGTAAATTTAGAGTCTATAAAACAAGAACATGATTCAGACAATGACAGTGGTAAGTAATGGGTAATACCCATGAGTGGTGTCGTGCTGTAGGAATGTGTTTATGAACGGTGTACATGACAGTATAGCGTCTCCAGTACATTGTTTGGGGGCGGGAACAGTGTTCCCTTACTTTTCCAAGTACATGTAAATCCATTCCAGTGCTTCAAATTCTGGAGTGAATGCTTTCAATTTCCACTGTTAAAATAAATATGAGGTAATGTTAACCTATTAACAGTGAAATATTTTGCAGGATCATCGCTTTGCTTAATTATATATGTAAAAAAATATTCAAAAATTGCACATTCAAAATGCACCCCTTTACCTATAGTTTTTAGTGATAATTTGTGCCTGACAATTTCTGTAAACAGTCAGTATATTATATATGCTCCTTGTTGATTAGAATAGCCCCATTTTTGAAGGGGTCTTTCAGAAATGATAGTAACTGTGTCGTTAAATTGTTTCTACTTTCTTTTATTTTGGTTTTAGTTCTACTAGATTTTGAAAACCTGGACTTCTTAGATGACCATTCTTCTGGTAGTGCGAGCGAAATGGATGACTCTAGTGATAGTATACATGCTGATAACAAGTCAACCAGAAGACCTTCATCAGGTTTGTTATTCTTCTTGTAACTCACAATACAATCAAAACATAAAATACAACTGTAAGCCTACTTTAGACATAATATTGAAGAGTTTTTATTTTTCTGTTAATTTGGTAATTAAACATACATTATGCAAGAGCTAAATCTGCCTATTGCAGGTCTTTCTTTAGGCCTGAAATGTTTTCTAAATTATTAATTAGACATTGATTAACTTCTCCAGGCCATAATCAACTCTCGATGGCATCAAATTTCTCCGATATTAAATAGATTAGAACAGTTCAGTCATATTTTGATTTAAGCTAAAAATGGAGGAGCGGGACTTATCGAACAATCAGTAGGGTGGTTGAAATTATTGCACACGTCTTGTCAAACCTTCAAAGGCTAATATCTTCGCTCGCAATAGAATAATTTGAATGAAATTTTCAAATTATTCCTTTTACATTATCTACTTTCGAACTATTATAGCAAGAATGGCTAGCTAATTATCTAAATCTTACATAATGTATCTTTAAACGTTTATTTTGTTCTATTGTTATAAGAAATTAGTCATATTGATTCTTGAAGAGCAAAATGAGAAGCAGTCTCAGGTGTTCTTAAAACATAAACGAAAACAATACTGCTGATTGCTAACTAGAAGGATAGTTTAGATCTGGAATTGAGAAGCCTATGGCTATTGGGATAATGATCTCCTAGGACTCTTCAAACGCGAAATGGTATCAGATATTCCATAAATAGTAAAGACACGCTGTCTAGTGCATAACACCCAATTGGATGTTTTCCAACAGATGTGTGTGTGTGTGTTTGACTCTTAGATCCATTCCATTTCAAATTCAGTTTCATTTGTAGTCACGAATTAATGAGCATGAAATAATTTATTTTAAAGATTCTGGTTATTCTGAAACGTCAGCAATTCTACCATGCTTTGAGAGTATCAGTAGAAGTGGGTCGTTGGAATCAGAAGATTCTGATATTGATGATAAACCTTACTGTAAAAGTAACCGAGGTAAGTAAATGTATCATCGTCGAATATAGATATAGCCAAACTTCTTCATATTTATTCGCTCTGGTCTGTGGATGCGCTAACACTATATTTTTTTGCATATCTTCAATTTATACATTCCTTTGCAATAGCATATATCTTGACCTTCCCCGCAGTTCAATACCATGTCACGATCCTTGGTATGGATGAACTGAATTCATTATATGGTATTAAGATTGTCCCACAGCAAAGGTACACACAAGAGATCGTCTCAGTCATTTGTTAATAGAAAAATTACGGTCTTATCTTTAATATGGATAGTGATTAACGTAGTAGTATGCAGCTGAGAACAGGTGTCAGGGACTAGGCTACTATCAGATTGATGGTGGGGGTAGTGCATGTCTCATAAATACAGCACACAGTGAAACCATTTGAACTTTCTTTTAAATCACCATAATCGGTGGCCTGAAACCTTGTTATGGACACCCTTTTCATATTTTTCAGGTGCCAAGCATAACTTGTTATGGAAGTTCTTACTGCAGAAGTTAGATGATCCTTATAATAAATGTGTGTCGTGGGTTGATAAGGAAGGGGGAACATTTAAATTTGAAGATACAGTCACGATAAGTAAAGAATGGGGATCGAGAAAGAGAAAGAACGATATGAATTTTGAGAAATTAAGCAGGGGAATAAGGTAAAGTACATATTTTTTATTCATTCGCCTTTGCTAAATTCTAATATTTTAATTAACTGCGATTTGCAGGAAGGGTGGATTTTGTTGGCGTCTGATTGGTCTTATTGTGTGCACTTGGATTATAGACCTGGGGTGAAGGGGGCAAGGATTTGATGGGTGTAGGGAGTGGTCTAACGAGTGCACTTACAACGTTTGTCACTGAGTCAAGTGTTGTGGTTTCAATTCCAGGTTTATGTTTGACAAACCTTGTGGTTTTCCTCACATGATTAATGAATCCTACAGACAAGAGAATTGTTTTAATAGTTTGTTCCAAAATGACTTGGTTTGTCTGCAGTGGACATTAAACCGCTTTCCCTCTCTGGTCTTTCTTTCAAGTGCTATCATAAATACAACCAGATCTTTCCATATGGCACCCAAGCATAAAAAGACAATGATTTTAGCAAATTGGTTTATTTTACTTAAGAAAACCAACTAGTAGCTAGTATTTATATGTTGTTATGACATAGAAATAAATGTAAGCATACCTTCTCTATTTAAGTCCCAGTGCGCCATTCTATTAAGCAATAGGAATCTCTAATAAGAATATTAGTCCAAAAATGCTTCTATTCCGTTTAATATGTGGAATTGACATTTCACTGATCTGTGCTGCTCGCAATGCAATGAATAAACCTTGTAAAATTTAATGAGGGGTCGGTACATTATCTAGCGTTGGTATCTTGATTTTGTTTTCTATCACTCAAAGCACATATATTAGTGTTGATTCCATAAATCTTATATACTTTAAATTGATATTATGATGTGTTATATAAATGTCAGTTATGGTTTGGTTGAATTGTTTTTATAAAATTGTGTCCAGAATGTTGTTTTTTTCATGTGTCTGATTAACCAGGTTTTACTGTACTGGTGTATGCCTCTATTGGTATTCAAAGTCTTTGCTGTGATAAATCCATTGGAAACTGACAATACAACAGAATCAATCCTGTTTTTGCAAATAAACACTATTATTTTCTAAAAATAACCAACAACTATATTTCAACAGTTTTTATTTATTATCTATTTCAGGCATTACTACAAGAGTGGTTTAATGTCGCGTGTCTCTTCTGAACGTTTAGTCTACAAGTTCCATTGGTCAAGTGTACCAAAACGCCACAGAAAATATTGAACTACAAAGATACTTCTCAAGAAGTTAACATAAACTCCATCCAGCTTAAGATTAGTTATATATTGATAAAACATTCCAGATTTCCTCCCATCGAGAGTCCGAGTGTTCGATAACTAACTACAAGGTTGAACAATTGAAAAGTGGCATTATTTATCTTGGTATAAGATTTCTGAATTGAATGAAGCACACACTTTATCAGGAATTATTGTATAAAAAGAGTGTAGGTTAGGAATCAGTAGAGGTGCCAGATACATAATGTTATAACAAAACCAGGTCCCGTGTTCAACTGATTAACTTATACTTAAGTTTAAAATTTAATTTTTTACCTGTCATAAGATATTTACTTCAAATCAGCTTTCAACTCTGTAAAGATAAGGAATAGTAGCTAAGATCTTTCTATAAATTTTGACCTTGGTGGCAATGGCACTATTTTATATCTTGAGGCCTATTTTCTTTACAATAATAGCTCACCTTACTGTCAGTGTTAAAAACACAAGCAATGATTGAATTCTCTGCCTCCACTTCAGTATATGCTTTAAAAAGCTGTGAAAATGCCCATTAAAATGAAACGCATCATGTAAAGCTTTATGTTATTCATGAGAGAATTAAGATAGGTTACCAGGCAATGAAACATACGCCCACAACAGCTAAGTCGTCCAAGGATTCAACAAGGGCTGTCACATATTTTTGTCTTTTGTCAGAAATGAAAACATTTACAACAAAATCTTACGAGTAACAACCCATTTGGGTTCTAGTTCTGCCCTGTTCTAACATTTAGAATACAGAACATTTAATATCAATTTCCATAATCATTTGAATTGATAGGCTTCTTCGTCTCATGACCTTCAACACCGTATTAAATATAAAGTCAATCGAGTGTGAACTTTAGCCTCTAAAGCGTCCACAAGATTTTCCAAAGTGATCAAGGGCCATAACTATGGCAGTAATTATCGGAAATCGTTAAAAATCAATAGGATTCACTGTGTATAAATTTAAAGTCAATCAGATATTAACTTTAGACTCTCTATGGCGTCCAAAAGATATTTCAAAGTGATCAAGGGCCATAGCTTTGGCATTAATTATTGGAAATCGTTGGAAATCAAGAGGCTTCTTCGTCTCATGACCTTAAATACTGTGAGGGCGTATAGAAACAAATTGTTGAACCAAACGTATTTTGAGGGGGTAGGGCTACCTTCTAAGTCTTTCCTAAATTCTCTCTCAAATTTTTTAAAATTTAATTTAAGCTAGTTAATAGACCAATTATGTATATATATTACAGACTTAATGGCAGGCGTCCGACCTGTATTGATAATTATAATATATATCTTGTTATTTGTTAATATTTTTAATATATCTTTTATACAGTTTATTTTATTTTGTTATTTTGTCTAAGATAACACTGAACTGACAGCAATTATCATAATCCAGTGTAATTTAATTTAAGCTAGTTAATAGACCAATTATGTATATATATTACAGACTTAATGGCAGGCGTCCGACCTGTATTGATAATTATAATATATATCTTGTTATTTGTTAATATTTTTAATATATCTTTTATACAGTTTATTTTATTTTGTTATTTTGTCTAAGATAACACTGAACTGACAGCAATTATCATAATCCAGTGTAATGGTGTTCTCATTTATCATGTTCACAACATAATGCAAAACTTCACCTGCGAGAGATGGTGTTATAAGGCTAAGGTGTTTAGTTATAGAAAAAATGTAATATCTATAACATCTTTCAAGCTGATCTGTTTAGATCTGACAAATCTTGAAATCAGGCAGGTCTAATAACACCAAGATGGCCTGATTGATATTTTTAAAACTAATTAGGCTTTATTGACAGATGTAATTATGTCTCATTAAATTAAAGAAAACCAATCACTACCAGAATCATTTATCATACTGTAAATAATATTATACAAAAATTCATGTTATATCATAAATGACAGTCATTAATTATTGGAGTTTTCAGTAATTAATTATTGGAGTTTTCGGGAATAAAGAACAAAGTTGCCATTTTAGTTGAACAAAATGTACTTTAAAACCAATCCAAAAAATGAACCTTCATCCAATACAGGTATTTTGATGTTCAATAATAAATGACTTTGCAAAAGCTCAATGTAATATGGCAGCATAAATAAACTGATATTTTTATACGCCAACATTTTTATGTGGACGTATATTGTCGTCGCCCCTGTCCACCCGTCCACAATTTGTTTGTGAACACTCTAGAGGTTACAATTTTTATCCGATTTTGATGAAACTTGATATATATGTTTATAACCCAACGATCTTGGTTCCTTTCGATATTCGCGCATATCGGACCGTAACCTCCTGAATTATGGTCCCTAATTGAACGAAAAATCGCGTTTTTAGCGTTCAAATATATCACTTGTTACACCATATGAGTTCGAATTTCGTGAAAAGTATGTAACTTCCTGGATTATGGCTCCTAATTGAACGAGAAATTGGCGTTTTTAGCGTGTGGTCCCTCTAGAGGTCACAATTATTATCCGATTTAAAAACCCCAAAAGACCTCTTAAATATATCACCATTACATCATTATGAAGGTTTAGTTTGAATTTCATGAAAATCGGACCGAAACTGCCGGACAAAACGGACGCTCCCTGTACGCAAAAGTATGTATTATCAAGGTTGTGGACCATCCTGGATTATGGCCCCTGATTGTACGAAAAAATCGCGATTTTAGTATGTTGACCCTCTACAGGTCACAATTTTTATCCGATTTTAAAAATTGCTAAAGATTATCATCGTTAAATTAAAAACCATTTAAATATATCACCGTTCCACCATAATGAAGGATGCGTTCTAATTTCGGGAAAATTGAAACGAAACTGCCCGACAATATGGCTGCTCGTTGTACGCTAATTGTGTACAAGTATGTAATATGAAGGTTGTGGACCCCCTAGAGGTCACAGTTTTTTTCCGATTTTGATGAAACTTAAAATATATCTTTATATCCCAAAGATCTCAGTCCCTTTCGATATTCCTGCATTTCAGACCATAACTTCTTGATTATGGGCCCTTGTGGGCGTATCTTGCCTGACAACCGCTGGTTGATAATTATAATAATATTTGTGTTCATATTGTTGTAAATACATTTCTTCTTGTATTCTTATAAATGTATTCATGTTATATCAGTGTATCATGTTTGTTAAACAGACAGAACCCCATTGAAAAAGGAAAAAAATGTATTCATGTTCTTTCAGTTTATGCCCATACATGTTTATATTCTAAAATAATATTTTATAATAATAATGCAATGATTTAATTTAGTTTGATGTTGGAATAGAGTCATTCACATCATCTTTTGTCAAAATACAGAAATAAGTATACCATCTCCTTTAAGAAGGAAATTACAAAAATGTCAGTGCCGGTGTAAATTTAGTGGCGCAATCACACATAGATGTAGCAGTTGCACCTTGATTGGAAATTTTATGTATACATGTATTTTCACATAACTGATGGCAGCTCAATACAATACCATTTTATAAAGGTCACATTTCTGTTGGCATTTTCATCTGAACATGTTTGTATTTGTGTAGTACCTGTAATGGGGTGTTTAGATACAATAAAATCTTTTCTTATATACAAGCCAAGTATTAGGTCATATACATTACCATCTTTTATTGTGTAGGCTATACTATATATTTGTAATTTGTTAAATTATATATAAAATAGATTTTAAATCTGCACATATAAAATATAAATTAATTTCTATATATAATCATCATTTTTTAAAAATCTAATCAGGTTTTGTTTTTGTTTTGGTTAATACGAAGAATAAAAAAACTATACATATTTCATTCATTTATCTAAAAAAAAATTACCTCAGTATTTAATATGGGGTTAAAAAATAGATATGGCACAACTATTCTGGGTCATAAGTTGCAGTGCTTGACTACAGTAATTTCGGGACTAACATGTTTCATTTTTATTTCGCATGCGTGTAGGGATCTTTAGCAGTAGGAGGAAACCTTAGGACACGAAGAAAACCCACAATGTTGGACGGGCGTACGAGTGGGGAATCGAAACAACGCAGCTTGACTCAATGACAGACCTTAAATTATGATGTCCTGTGCACGCGTTAACCATTCGCCCCCCCCCCCCCACACAGCAAATAGAAATACTACAAACAATATATTGATGCTGAAATTCTTCAAATTCAAGTTAAGAGGCAATTGAATTCAATGTTTATAAGAGTCAAAAACTACATGTACATGGTTAATCTTCCAAAACACAGGACCACTTTGCATATTAAGGGTTTAGAAATTCATTCACGTGATGAATATCTTTTTGGATGAAATGATACTCTGCTTGGAGTTATTGCCCCGTACACCGAAACCTCATAAGAGAGAAAATATATTTCATCAGAAATGAAGTTTAATGTTTTATTCCATCCAGGCTAATGAAGACAAACATCATGAAATTACTGGCATCAACATTTATGGTGATCAAATGATAGTCTGCTTGGAGTTATTGCCCCTTAATCTAAACACTTTCATCATCAAAAATGAAATGGGGTTTAATATCCTACTTCTCTTCTCCATCTGGGCTGATGAAGTTTAATGTTTTATTCCATCCAGGCTTATGAAGACAAACATGAAATTACTGGCATCAACATTTATGGTGATCAAATGATAGTCTGCTTGGAGTTATTGCCCCTTAATCTAAACACTTTCATCATCAAAAATGAAATGGGGTTTAATATCCTAATATGCCATAAAATGTGCTATTAGAGAAATTTGGCTTGGGCAAAAGGTCTAGGGCCAACTCTTCTTTTCAAATTCCAACCGTCAAGGGTTTTTTTTTTTTATTGTGCACACACAGGACCTATTTCTTTGTCCAATCAAATGACTAGACATGGTTCCTTCCTGCACGACTAAAAACAGGAGACTAGTTAACTACGCTGAAAAATCCTGAGAAACTTTCTCAGCCAACACAAGCGAGCACTATAACTACTCAGTCACCATGACAGAATATTTCATTAACCATGCAAGAGAGAGAGAGAGAGAGAGAGAGAGAGAAATGGGGTTTAACATCCACTAGGTCATTTCGGGTCCAACACATGGTTCAATTTTATTTCAATAATTTGTTTGTGTGTAGGGGTCTTTAGCAGCGGGAAGAAAAAGAAACAGGAAGACCCGGAGAAAACCTACGAAGTTGGACAGGCGACCCTACTCCTTGTCACATACAACCTAGGATTCAAAACCACGCCAGTTGACTCAATGACAGACCTTATGATACAGTGCGCGTGTGCAAACCATTCGGTGATCCACCCCTCCTAAACCATATAAGGCATAAATTACATTGCCCTTTAGTTAGTAAATGGTGAGGGGTAGGTGGTGAGGGGGAATAACCAGGGGGGCCACAGAAAACTCACATGGTTATTCCCCAACTTTGTATTGAAAAGTACAAAACAATAGGGACCCAGCCCAAGTTCAGCACACAAAACTTTATTAGAGTTCTTTGTGACCTCAATTTGAGGTCCTCAAGTGCACTCAAAACTCTATATAAAGTAAAATCTAATTGCAACCGAAATCCTTTCACCAAAACTGTATTCAAGAACTGTAGTGGCTTGCATTTTCAAGAAAATATTGCGGGGGTGGGGTAGTAAGATGATATTATACATATCAGTTTTAAAAACTGACCCTTTATCAAACTGCTCAACTCTTAACTATTTGAGGTTGACACCAGAGGAGAATCAAAAGGTATAACCTTCTTTTTGTCAGTTTTTTCAGCAACTTATCTTTCCACAAAAGGTACATCAAAATAGACTTTGCAAGGAAATTACTAAATTTTGGCCATCATACTATATCAACAGGTGGTATTGTTTTTAACACATCTTTCAACATATATGTAGAAAGATACAAGATGGCTAAGTGTGTAAGACGCTGGCTCGCTAGCCTGGAGGTCACAGATTCGTTCCCGGTGTTGGCCGACAAAGTTCACCAGGATTTTCCGGCATGGTTTCAGTGGTGCAGCTGTTTAGACTTTCGGATGGGACGGAAAACTGAGGTCCCATGTACACATTGGCTGCACATAAAAGATCCCTTGGCAGTTGGAATTCAATGCGGTTTAACGTCCACTAGACACATGGTTCAATTTTATTTCAATAATTAGATGGCGTATAGGGGTCTTTAGCGGTTGGAGGAAACTGGAGGACCCAGAGAAAACCTGTGAGGTTGGACAGGCGACCCTATCCCTTGCCACGTACAACCATTGAATCGAAACTACGCCAATTAACTGAATGACAGCCCTTATGATACAGTGCGCACACACTAACTATTCAGACATCTAACCGCCCCCCCCCCCCAGTGTATAAAAGGCAAGGTGTTCCAGAGCAAGGAAATCCATGTTAAATATGCTCATACACAATTAAGAGTTCCACACAGCCAGGTTGTATCTTTTCATTTACATCTGCTTAAATATTAATTTTGAGCGACAATATAAACAATATAGCAAATATAATTGCTTTGTGAGGCCAACTGTGTGGATGTTGCTGACAGTGTAATAATTGTTTTTGGCATTGTTGCGTAATAAGAACAAATAATTGCTCGCTTTCATCAAGTCAATCCTTGAGAGAGAGAGAGAAATGGGGGCCACTTGAAACAAACAAGTTCATTTCAGGACTAACATGTTTCATTTTTATTTCGCATGCATGTATGGATCTTTAGAAGTGGGAGGAAACCTGAGGACCCAGAGAAAACCGACAAGGTTGGACGGGTGACCTAGTCCTTGTCATGTACAAGCGGGGAATCAAAAACAATGCTGCTTGACTCAATGACAGACCTTATGATGCAATGCACATGCTTTAACCATTTAGGGTAATTAACATTTAGAGAGAGACACAGAGAGAAAAATAAATAGGGTCCACTTGAAACAAACAAGGTCATTTCGGGATTAACATTTTCACTTTTATTTCGCATGTGTGTTGGGATCTTTAGCAGTGGGAGGAACTGGAGAAAACCCAGGAGATTAGAGGCGACCATATTCCTGGTCACGTACAATCGTGGAATCGAAACCATGCCAGCTGACTCAAATGACAGTGCAGACCTTATGATAAACGCACACGCGATAACCATTCAGCCATCCAACTCCTCAATCCTGTAAAGGATTTTACCCATTATTCCCCCACATACTCAGGGACCCCCATGAAAACTATTACCACTTCTCTATGTCGGTAACAGATTTGCAATTACCTGTATGTGCAAAAAAAAAAATAGTTGAGCAAACATTTTTTTTATTATATTTATTTTATTGTGCATTATAATCAAGAAAGTTTAAATCTTGTTAATGAGCTCCTTTAAAGATGCATAATGTAAGAGCTAAATCTTCCTGATGCAGATCTATCATTTGGCCTCAAATGCTATATAAATCCTTAATTAACATTTATTCAAATGCCAAGCCAATAATCAACTCTCTAGAGAACCGGATGGTTTAGGTTTTCAACAGATTGAAAAATAATTGCAAGTTAATAATTTAAATTAGAAAAAAGGATAATCAAGAATCAAGACTGTATATTATCGTAACAACGGTAGCAATGACAATTGAGACTACACCGTTCTTCAACTCCTTTGAAAATGAAGTAATTTGACTGATTTATTAAAGTATTACATTTTCGTTGTCTATTTTTGAACGAGAATAGCAAGAATTGTCAGCTCTTCATCTAAATCTTACATAATGCATCTTTAATCAATAAACATAGCGACTTAATGATTCCACAAAGCTGACACTGCTCTTCTATTATGCACACACCAGGTCTTTCAACTGTCCGTGGTTATGCAAGATTGCCTTGTCGTATTACGATGCTCTAATCCAATGTGATATCAGTTGCCCAAGAGGTACTGTTCCAAGCTGTTCCACTGCTACTGTTAATTCTAAGCCTAATTTCAGTAAATTAGATTGATACCATAACAAATAGCTCATATAAAGTAAACAATATAATTGTAAATGAAAAGCTGGCATTAATGATTTACAATAAAAACATTTCTTAAAAACTATATTTAGTAGTAATGTATAATAGTAATAAAATTACTGAAACACCCTGCTATTTATTTTTTATCAATTGGTATTTTCTTAGGGGCATCATTCAGTGCAGGGTTAACTGGCCCAGTGATGGTCAAAATCCCATCTTTGGTCAAGTTTGAAGACAACCCATCGATATCGACATTTTCGGGTAATGTGAATTTCCTATGAAATTCTTGGTAGACTGACGAATTCTCGTTCTTTTCCTCGTGTTTAGCATCAATACTAAGTTCCTGCCCTTTAGTTGAAATGGAAATTTCCTCAGGTTTGTAATTGCTGACATCCAGTCTGAGGTCCAGAGCCTGGGTACCATCTGATTTAGTAATGATGGGGTCTCTTAAATCTGCCAACTGCTTAAACAGATTGTTGCCACCAGCAGAAATGGGATCACGTGGTGCCAATCTCATCATGGCATTCCTCATATCGTGCTGCTCTCTCATCGCATGTCTAGTTATGTCGTCGAACATTCTATCGAAATAAAGGTCATTTTGCAAGAGGGGAACTAAAGCTCGTAAAGACATGTTTATGGCTTGCTGAAAGAAAATAAAAACTTTTTGTTATAAACGATGTAAAAACATTCCACTTTGTCGTATTTTTTTCAAACCAATGCCAACATAGGTGGAGCTGGAAAAAAAAGAAATCAATGAAAACAGTCTATAAATTCAAATCAACCATAGAATAACTTCAGGTCGTTAGCAGGTACTAATATTTAAAAAAAAGTTTTCAAGGACAATAACTCCAATCATAACTTTGTCCTCTTGAGATTCCACAAGGGTTTTGGGTCTTGCAGGTCTTAGTTTTACTGCCTTACTGTTATTGAAAGTAGTTTTGTCTACGACATCACCCATAACAGAACTAACATGGTTATATGGGAAAACAATCACTGGTTTATTATACACTAGCACGACGTTCGATAAGTATATCGTTTTCAAGCAATACTATACATGTAGTAAACTATTGTTTTCCCATATTTCCGTGTTAGTTCTGTTATGTCCCCTATCACTAAACGCTACTAAAGGATTATGATATCACCCATGGTGACAGTGGACATAAAACTCTAGGAAATAGAAGAATGAAAGTAGTTGCAAATCAATAAGATTCTTTATTTCCTGACTGTAAACTTGTGTATAGGATAAATTTCAAATTAATTGGTTGACTTTTAGAGGTTCCATAACACTTAAGTGATAAAGAGCAATTACTTCAAAGTTAACAGTTTCTTCATGTCATGAACATACAAATCTTTAAGTCAATTGAATGGTAACTTCTAGAACATCCACAAGATTTTTCAAACAGATCAAAAGCAATGTTCAACTCTTGACAGAAATTGAATAGAAATACAACAAAATCAATCCTGTATTTTCTAAAAATAGATATTTCAACAGTTTTTATTTATTGTCTATTTCAGAAATTCTGGCATACAACAAGAGCGGTTTAACCATCGACTTAGTAAGTGACTCGAAGAGAGCTCAAGCCTCTGCTATAGTATAATACTATAATAGGATACCGGTACACGTTGGCGTGCATGTAAAAGAACCCCTTGCAGTTGGAATTCAATATTGGAGAGTGTGTTGTAGTGCCGCTGTCCGGGCAAAAACTGTCTTCTGCCTGGCTTTATTTTTCCCAGTCGGAGCAGAACAGTAGAACGTTAATCCCCATTTCATTTTTAATTTAAATCAGAAAACAAACAACGTGCATTCAAAATGTTGTAATACTCACCTAATATTACCGTTGTTCGCTGTGTTTATATCTGGTTTCAGACAATTACGATGTTACCGTTGTTCGCTGTGTTTATATCTGGTTTCAGGCAATTACGATGTACATTGAAGTTCTGGATTTGACGTGCACTTTTATATATAAACCTACATGAAATCTCGATTATTCTAGGAGCGACACGACTTTTCTACTTTCATAATTGTTATTGATCGAGACCTCCAACCAATCAGAATTTCTGTTTTAAAGTCTAGATTGTCAAGATTTGGAAAGCCCGCATTCACTGAGTTACTATGGTTAATACGCATTGTAAATATACCGTTACGTACACAGACAACGCTAGAATGTTCGGGATTGTGCATCTTGACCCTTTCCTCTCGCCGTAAATAATGTCAGCTCGTGCGGGGAAGTCACGCGGCGGATCCAAGAATTTTTGCAGATGGGACCGGTTTTCCAGGCTCCTGTTATAGTGTTAATTAGGAAATAAATGAAATGAAATGAGGTTTAAAGTCCTACTCCGAACTGGGCCAATGAAAACGTGTCCTACGCCATACCAATAAATACCAATATACAGTGTGCGATGAGGGAAATTATAAAGTAAAATTAGTAGCTTAAGTCTCTAACTCAATATCATCAAAAATCTTCGACATTGAAAACACGAATTATTTGTCATTTCAAATTAATAGCGGTCTTGTGATCTTACAAGACACAATGATTAATGAATAAACATTATACCATTGGTACACGAATCGTGTATCATTTCAGCGCCATTTAGAACAAGGGACTCAAATAGTAAGTGCAGGGGGACTGCATGCACCACACAAAATTTACACAAATTCTTATATGGAGAGCATGCGCAATAAATACCATCGGTGTAGACTGGAATAACCAGACGCTAAATATTACCATTCAATTGAGACTTCTGGCGTATAATTTCGCCGAACATAACTGATTAGAAATTACAATAAAAACAGAAACAATTGAATGTAAATCATACATTCATATTACATTATTATATGCGTTGCGACCCATTTGTGTCAATTTCTAGGTCCCAAATATTAAACATAGGCTACATTATGCAAGAGCTAAATCTGCCTATTTCAGATCTTTCTTTAGGCCTGAAATGTTATCTAAATTATTAATTAGACATTAATTAACCTATCCAGGCTATAATCAACTCTAGATGGCAGCGCTAGCCTGCGATCTTTAGTGGATTGCAAGCCGATTTACTGCATAACTTTCCTTCTCGATTAAACGATTAAATGGATAATCGAGACTATGCTGTTTATCGTACTGACTTTGTAATGATGACCGAGGCTTATGGGAATTTCAGTCGCTTAGTTCTCGGTTCATAGTGGATCAATTTGAATGAAATTTTCACCAAATTGCCTTTACATTATCTAGGTTTTAACTATTATAGTGAGAATACATACATTATCCATGATTATTATTAAGACAGCAGGCCAGACATGTTTTAAGTATGTTGTTATGTAAAATGAATGATTTTATTAGAATTACACCTATAGAAACAGTGGCCTTGTTGTATTCCTTGTAATCTCCCTTGATATGAAGGCATTTTCCCAGTGATATCGACTGGTCCTATATGCTTATAGTAGTCAGTGTCGAAAAAACCTGACTGACAGCCACATTTTGTGTCAGTGTGATCAAAATATCTTTTGTGGCTCTCTTACGCCACTTCTCTACACGGATGGAATGTTTATTTGGTTCATTGGATCTCTGACATGTTCGTCCCGACCGCGACCATAATTTGCAAGGTAAATCGTGCACGCAATTGTTTACAAATGCATTCTGAACAAACATCTGAGACACGCTACCTGCGGAGAAGTATCTCAGACACAGTCAATAGCCATGATCGATATCCATATCACGTGATCTACACATCACAGGTCATGACATTGACGTCAATGGGTCATGAGGTCAACAACACGTTACATTGTAAACAATAGGTTTATCTTCAGCATTGTTTACTTTGCACCCATAAAGACTATAGAATTCGTCCAGTCCCAACATGTTCTCTCTTCTTCCAATGATTTTTCACAAAATAACATCTACAACCCATAGAATTGACGTCGTCTTCAATGACAGCGTCTGCATGCGAATGATTGTTCTTAGTTAGAGGCTGTCATCTTGGCACTATTTTGTGCGTTGGTCGTGTCTATTTCAGATATACACATTCAATTCTGTTGATGTTTTTGGCGTTGGGATTGACTAATAATTAATTTATTTCAGTTCTAAAACAAATATTTTAAACTTTAACGCAAATTTAGAAAATAGCCAAATTCTGGCTGGGATTACTGAGCAAAATGGCCATTCACTGTATAGGCCTACGTGCGAAAAAAAAGCTAGCCACCAATAAATTTTCGTACGTTAGTTACGTGCGTTTACAAATGCTATAACCTGGCACTTGACCCCAGAATTTTTGACCGTAACCCCGCAAGCACGACCGCTGATTGGCCAAATTTTAAATAGCTGCGCAGGATCCAACTCGCACCTACGCAAATATGGCTCCGCACTATATAAAGAAATAAATCAGTGATTTCTGGCCGATTTCGAGCTTAAAGTAGCTAAGTCTCTAACTCAATATCAAACCCTTCGACAATGAAAACACGAATTATTTGTCAATTTTAATCAACATTGGTGTTGTGATCTTACCGGAAAAAGATGGGCTTCTGATATCTAATATTTAAGACAAAATAAACATTTTACGATAGGTACACGAATCGTGTACCATAATGCGTTTCAGCGCAATTTGTAGCAAGCGACTCGAAGAACGAGGTTAAACATGTTCCACAAGTCATGTCAAACGGTGACCCCCATATTCGTATCTGGAGAACATGCGCAATAAATACTATCGGTGTAGACTAGAATAACCAGACACTAGAGATTGCCATTGGATTGAGACTTCTGGGTATTTCGTCGAACATAACTGCTTTGAAATTAGAGTAAAAACTGGAAAGATTGAATGTAAATCAGTTTATTTACATTCATATTACATTATTATACGTAGCGACCCATTTGTGTCAATTTGTAGGTCCTAAATATTAGCGATTTAGCTCCTTTAAACTATTAAATTTACATTTTTGGGGGGAGAACTTTGTTGACATATTGATTGTACGATTATTGATTGTCCGATTTTATAGACCGGTTTAGCGGGAGCGAAGGTGACCGGATCTTCAACCCGAGAATTCGGCCTTCTAACTGCTAACCGCGAGAGCATGGTGGGGACACAGTGCGCGTAGCAATGAGCTTAGCGCGCTGGGAGTAGGCGATTGGTGTTGCTGAGACAGGCGCATGATAGGCGCGTTTCAATTTCTTGCCACGCTTATTGGCGCAAGCCCTACACTGCCGCGACGCTCTCTTTACCATCATGATCATGCCAGGAGACCGAATGAATAAGATTGCCTTTCCCAAGAAAATCGATATCAGCTCAATGTCATCTCGGATCAGTAATTTTCATCGTTGGATAATATACCAAACCGGCTTTCAGGAATGTGCTACAAGCATAGAGCTATAATAACTCTACGGCTACATGCTAATAGCCTACGTAGCAGAATTGGACAAGTAATGTGTTTAGAAAACGTTCCGCCGTCTTGAAAATATGCTAAATTGGTGAACATACGATCATTTTAAGCAGTTGTATATATATAGTAGAAATCGAATCTGCGCCACCGAAAACATATACTGACACCAGAGACGACTATACTTAATCTGCGACCCCGAAATCGTATATATTGACACCAAATTCTAAATCTTCACATCGTCCCATTTTCCCACCAAAAATGGCCGCCATCTTGGAAATATCTACATGACGTGATGGAAAAAAATCTGAAATATAGTCATGACCCTTGTCAATACTAATACAGTACCAAATCACAGTTGGTATGTCGATAACATTATAAATAAGGTGAAAATAAAAAAAATAAGTTGGAATATTATCGCAAAATGGCTACCCTCAAATAATGGCCTCGCATACTACGAAGCACTACTATTGACACCAAATTCTAAATCTTCACATCGTCCCATTTTCCCACCAAAAATGGCCGCCATCTTGGAAATATCTACATGACGTGATGGAAAAAAAATCTGAAATATAGTCATGACCCTTTTATAGACCGGTTTAGCGGGAGCGAAGGTGACCGGATCTTCAACCCGAGAATTCGGCCTTCTAACTGCTAACCGCGAGAGCATGGCGGGGACACAGTGCGCGTAGCAATGAGCTTAGCGCGCTGGGAGTAGGCGATTGGTGTTGCTGAGACAGGCGCATGATAGGCGCGTTTCAATTTCTTGCCACGCTTATTGGCGCAAGCCCTACACTGCCGCGACGCTCTCTTTACCATCATGATCATGCCAGGAGACCGAATGAATAAGATTGTCTTTCCCAAGAAAATCGATATCAGCTCAATGTCATCTCGGATCAGTAATTTTCATCGTTGGATAATATACCAAACCGGCTTTCAGGAATGTGCTACAAGCATAGAGCTATAATAACTCTACGGCTACATGCTAATAGCCTACGTAGCAGAATTGGACAAGTAATGTGTTTAGAAAACGTTCCGCCGTCTTGAAAATATGCTAAATTGGTGAACATACGATCATTTTAAGCAGTTGTATATAGTAGAAATCGAATCTGCGCCACCGAAAACATATACTGACACCAGAGACGACTATACTTAATCTGCGACCCCGAAATCGTATATATTGACACCAAATTCTATAAATCTTCACATCGTCCCACCAAAAATGGCCGCCATCTTGGAAATATCTACATGACGTGATGGAAAAAAATCTGAAATATAGTCATGACCCTTGTCAATACTAATACAGTACCAAATCACAGTTGGTATGTCGATAACATTATAAATAAGGTGAAAATAAAAAAATAAGTTGGAATATTATCGCAAAATGGCTACCCTCAAATAATGGCCTCGCATACTACGAAGCACTACTATTGACACCAAATTCTAAATCTTCACATCGTCCCATTTTCCCACCAAAAATGGCCGCCATCTTGGAAATATCTACATGACGTGATGGAAAAAAAATCTGAAATATAGTCATGACCCTTGTCAATACTAATACAGTACCAAATCACAGTTGGTATGTCGATAACATTATAAATAAGGTGAAAATAAAAAAAAATAAGTTGGAATATTATCGCAAAATGGCTACCCTCAAATAATGGCCTCGCATAGGCCTACTACGAAGCACTACTCTGAAAAAATGTCAACATTGTTTTTTTGTCATTAAATATCAAAACCTTCAAAAAAAAAAAGCTTATTCCACGATTTCTACCCGAAAAGACGACGGATTTACATTATCTATCGGAATAATCGGACCAAATAGTGTTATCAATTGCAGACATTTGATAGAAAGGGAGATAACTCTCTATTACCGTTGATGGATTTCCAACATTCTGTATGTTCCCTTGTCCATTATGTTTTCTGCATTTTGGTTTAAATCAATATTTAGCCAATAGCATATTATTTGCCGAGGATGAAGGCATTGGGTATTTTCACCAATATTTAATTTATCTCAACTTCACAATTGTTAGTAGATCTATAAATATAGCATATTAGCATTTACTTGAACATTATCACAATTTTTATGTGGCCCTAAATCGGTTAGTGCAAACTTTTTGCTTGGAACTCTCTGGCTTAGTGTTGCTGGTGTTATAAGCTTTCCAAAAATGTATAGTTTGTTTGTTAGGGAGGACCATGTAGCGGAATTGTGTAGCAAGCTAGAAATTTCGGCTGTAGGCCTAAAATGGGCCTGGTGAAAATGGTTACGTGCGTAGCAAAATACTTATATGCGCCGCTGCCACTGTATGTTTTTTTAATTGTAACAATCCTTCTCATTTTCCAGATCTTTCGTTTTCAATTCAACTTTCCAATTTCAATTATTTGATCCCAAAGGCGGCGTGCATATCAAATGCAAGTCCAAGGTAAGGGTGGTTTTTGCGCCGGAATCGATGTGTATTTTTGCACCACAATGTCTCGATTGTAGGCCTATTCAACCCTAGACGACCATCACCAGGCCCCTAGGCCCTAAGTTCAAGTCACTCGGCTGACAACTTTAGCCTGTAGTGAGCGTTCACAATCAAACGAGGACGGCCAATATACGACCACATTTCAATTTGGGAGTATAAAAAGTTGGCTTCATCTTTTCAAATGGTCCGTTCGGTAGGCTACTTCCCCGATCGTGAAGTTATACTTTTTGCCTCATCTACAGTACATGTCCAACATGAGCACTTCAGCCGTTTAACGGACAGAACAATAGGAACTTCGCACTGTATAGGCTACAGTACTAATACACGAGCCTTTTAAGATATAAATGTAAACTAAAATTTGTAAAAAAACCCAACAAAAAACAACCCTATTTCCTCTTAAACTTTGGAAACAAAACATTTAATTGTAGGCTATTATAACAGACCAAATCAACCCAATGCAATACTTATTTTGTGCAAAATCAAAGATATCCACTTGCTTTAAATATTTTATTCGACGATTCTACAATCAAACAGATCCTTCCATAGGAACGGATTCAAATAAACATGGACATTTTCCGACGACATGTAAGCTAGGACACTGCAATGATGGGACATCTTTAATTTTTCAAGTATGTGATAAAACTTTTATAGCCGGCTATTACTATCAGAAAAAAATTATGTAGTTTAATGAATAACCTGACGTGATAAAAGTGCGGGTGTTCTCTACAGGTACGTCGATTTAAATCTTATTAAGGTAACTACTGTATATATACACATCCATACAGGAATAGATAGGGCGTTATTGCTAGTTTTAAATAGTATGGCTGCTATTTCCGTATCGGTGTTTGCTCCAAGAAATAAATTGTTGGGGTTTGGGTTAATTATAACATTATTAATTATAGGTGGACTAATAATTCGACACTTTACGGTCCTATGGGAGTCCACCGAAAAGTCGGTGTTTTTTTTGGTCCGACTCTCTTAAGTGCAACCCCCATTGTTCCTCCGCTTAACAGAATATCTCTGAAGATCTTTGCCGATAAAATACCTTCTTTTCCAAATATAAAATATCCATAGATGTATATAGCTATGTGGATTATAGATCAAAGATATTTTCCTCTTCAAAAATAAAGCCCTGAATTAAATTCCTCCAGATTCTATAACTAAAAATATTTCCGTTTTATTTTTGTAAACAACGCTCAGTATAAAACTATTAGTTTAGTCACTTAAAATTTCAAGCACTCCACCAGCAGTATGCCATCTTGTTTTGTGTTATTTGTTCACATTTAAACTGTGGTACCAATATCCATTGTCTCTTATACATGATGAAAATATATAAAAACAAAACACATTTTTTTAATCATAAAGGGAGTCAACAATTACAAAGACAATAACAAACAAGTTCTCATTCTAATAAAATCTCACATTTTTATGTACATAAAAGCATGGGGGATTCAACCGCTTCTTGCGACCAATTTAACCACAGTCACATTTCATTTTTAAACCATAAAAGTGATTATATTCACTTCAACATGTACAGTCCTAGCTAGAATGTGGTATTTTGTAAAATGTATACATACAGAAAACATCTTTCTATCTATATTTGAGTTGAGGTTTTTATTTAAGTACAAGTTAAGAGTTAAACAATAAATACATGTTTTTATGTATACACAACTCACTACATAGTAAGTAATCTTTTTAAATATCAGGTACAATTCCTTTTTAAACTCAGGTTGGCATACTCTAACGCACTAACAGGTTCTCTTTTCTAAATTAACTTTCCTCAGCTGAACTTTAATAGGAATGAAGTACCTCAGTGTTGGTTAAAACATAAAAAAGGATTTCAATGTTGAACAGAGGGATGTAATGGTTTAACTCGTTGGTTTCTGGACAAACCAAGTCGCATCCCTCCAGTTGGTGATTTCAAGCTACAATTCATGTCACTGTTACCTCGACTAGATGGACCTGCAGGTTAAAGTTTAAAATATTTATTTTTTTACTCTATTTTTTTGTCAGTAGTTAAAGCAGCCACTTACAAATTGGTTCGTGAATTGAAAAACTGTTAACTTATTTTTAAAAGAGAATTTTAAAGTAACTATGCTTCATTAGCATTTTTGGCTGAAATATCCAATCTTACAGCTTAATCCACACTAATTGATTATTTAACCTTTAATTAAGAGAACAAAATAAATAAAAAACCCTGATTCAATTGGATATAAAATAGACCTATCAATTCTTTTTGCCCATATCAAAATGACTTTAGGGCTTATTACACAGCAAAAAAGAGAGAGAGAGAGAGATGGGGTTGAATGTCCACTTGACACAAACTAGGTCATTTCAATAATTGGCTTGTGCAGAGGTCTTTAGCAGTGGTAGGAAACCAGAAGACCCGGAGAAAACCAACGAGGGTAGACAGGCGACCCTACTCCTACAACCGGGGAATCGAAACCACACCAGTTAACTTAATGACAGACCTTATGATGCAGAGTGCACATGCTAACCATTCGGCCATCCAACCCCCCAATTACATAGCAAGCAATACTCTTTCCCAATACTGTAGTTTGCAAGGGATTCCTATTGTGCTAACATGACACAGTGAGACTTTAAGCCCATTTGTCATACACAGAATATGCAAAACCTGACTGAATTTTAAAATTTTGGTATGAGAGCCCTAGTTTCAAAATTGGAAATGCCTACAAATATTATGATATTTAATACATTACCTGGTGGTGTCCATGCTGGTATTTTTCTACTAATAGAAAATATAGGTGTTCGTGATACTACAGTAGATACACAACTACTTTTAGGTGTATTTAATTTAAGTGATGGTGAGTTAATGACAGATTTAGAATTTATTTTTGGAGTTGCAGATTTAGATGTTGGTTTAGTGTTTAATATTCCAGCAGTTTTGACCCTTGCAGGACTGGATTTAGGTTTAGAGTTTAATATTGGAGTAATTCTGACAGTTTTTGTAGTATTTGAACCAGCCTTTGAGTTTATTTTGGATGAAGTTTTATCTGAAGTCAAAAAGAAAAGACATTTGTTTCTTAATATAGGCATTAGAGAATTTGATGATCAAATTAGATGTCCATCTTATTTTACACCTTTTTCAAAAGTAAAATCATTCTCTAATGGTGCTTGTTACTTTTATTTACTTATGTGAAAAACTTGCTAACAACAATTTCAAAATACACCATCCAATACAAGTCTAAATTTTGTATCATTTATTACCTTTAGCAGTGGACTTTTTTGCACTAAACATTTTATTGACATTTTTTTTCTTGTTGGGCTTTTCCACATAATCACTATCATCTTCACTGTCATCATCATCAAAATCATCATCATCATCCTCATCATCATCACTGCTTCCAATTTCAACAGCAAATGTACTATCTGTAATCATTATGGGGAAAGTAAATGAAGGACTATTCCTGAACCAATCCAAAGTAAACTGAGGATCTATTCCTGAATCTGTCTAAATTAAAACTGTTTTTGGTATATACATGTATCTAAGATTTGTACTATTCTGTACCAATTATAAATACCTTTATCATCATCATCACTGGAATATTGTAATTTCTGACGTTTTCTAGGAGGTGAATCCTCAACAAGTTCAGTGGATATAATTTCAATATCATCCTCCGTAGATTTGTTTAAATCTAGAATCAAGATATATTTATTACTATTTCATTATTTTAAAAACAGATCAATAATAATAACAGCTACAAGAATCAAAAGTCAAATTGAGATTAAGTTACATGTTGTGTGTACTATTAGCGAAGTTTTACCATACTCACTGAGTCTCTGTGGTTACTACTAGAATCAAATTTTAAAACTTTCTAGATACTTCCGTTTAAAAAGATTGTGTTTTGGTGTCACGTCACTAGCAGACATATATATAGATATATACTATAGCCATTGCAAATTTGAAATATGACTAACAGTAAATTCAGCTTGGGAACACAATATTGAGCGATCTGGGAGTAGTATTGATGACATCACTAACACATTTGTTCATGAACTATTAAAAGGCAGTGCTTAGCAGAAACATCTAGATTTTTTTAAAAAGTTGATTATCTCTTGTTAGACTGTAGAAATAGATGGACGATTTCCTTTAAACTAATCCTTTCTTGGTATATTATGCTATGTCACAAAAATGTCTGCCCAGTAATTTAGTAAAAGATGGGTTGCCATGTAATGAAACATACGCCAACAGCAGCTAAGTCGTCCGGGCAGTCAACAAGGGTTGTTGCATATTTTTTTCTTTTGTCAGAAATGAAAACATTTACAACACACTAAAAAGCTGATTACGAGTAACAACCCATTTGGCTTCTAGTTCTGCCCTATACTAACGTTTAGTATACAAAACATTTAATATCAAGGGCCATAACTCTGGCAGTAATGATCGGAAATCGTTGAAAATCAATAGGCCTCTTCTTCTCAAGACCTTAAACATTGTGTATCAATTTAAAGTCAATCGGATATTACACGTAACTTTAGCCTCGACTAGCGTCCACAAGATTTTTCAAAGTGATCAAGGGCCAAAACTCTGGCAGTAATTATCCGACATGACCTTAGACAATATGTATAAATCTAAAGTCAATCCGATATTAAATCGTTGAAAATCAATAAGCTGCTTTGTCTCATGACCTTAAATACTGTGTATAAATTAAGTCAATTGGATAGTAAGCAATTCTGGATGTCGGACAACGGACTGACAGCAATATACGTCCACATTTCTATGTGGACGTATAAAAATGTTATTTAAATCTGAGAAAAGAAGATTTTTATTAATCACAAAAACTTTGTTTGCATTTGATCAATGTTAAATCCAAAGACACATTATGGATGTAGCACTTTTTAAAAATATTTTATTTTTATTCATTATCAAGTTTTAAATTGAATAGTTTCAACTTTCAACAATGCACAATTGCATCCTTCAAAGTGTAAACTGTTTCATGCACAGTTTACAAATTACTAAACAGAACAGCACATTATGATAATGGTGAATATACACAAAGAGTATCATAACACATGCTTATTTCTTCAAATGATAGATTTGAATGTGGGTGTATAAAAATGTAAACAAAGCTATACAGGAGAATTATACTGTAAGGGTGTTTTTGTATGTGGCTGAACCACCAACATGTCAATTGCAAGAGTGTTAACAAAAGAAGTCAGCTTACTAGTTTTTGTATCAGGTTGCTTTTCAACTTTATCTGTTACAGAATGAATATCTCTTGTTTCTTGACTGCTACTATTATTATTATTATTATTATTAGAACAATCCAGCAATGAGGCAGCTAATGCTTCTTTAAGTTGTACATCTAATAGTCTATCGTCAAGAGATTTCCTGAAATAAAAACAATACAACATTTTGTGAATTAATCTATTGATATAATATTAGTAAAAAAAACAAATGACAGCTGAATACCACATAACTTCTGATTTACACTATCTGAATTGATCTAAAGCCTGTTTATCTATTCAAATGTAGTAAAACGCTTGTCCAAAATAGACCAGTTCAAATTTAAATTCACTTTGCTGCTTTTCTTTACACCCTCTAGAAGCTTGGATTAAAAAATGAAATAGAGCCACTTCTTTTAAACCAGGCTAAGTTTTGTGGTCTAATACTACTAATGGAAAACCAATCTTACTTAAAGAAGTAACCAGATTTTGCCTCTATAATTTGGATAAAATACAGTATAAACCATGTTGCAAGTTAGACATCATGTTGTCCACGACATCATCAAATCGCCACAATACACTTTTTTTTGCTATTGCAGTAATCCAGGATTATTTTTTTTTTTTTATAAAAGAAGAAAAACATTTTTGTGTACTGTTTACTATTTCAAATCCAGAGTCAAATGAGTTCAACCAGCTATTTATTATAGTCACATCAAAATTATCAATAATAGTATCAATACTGCAGTGATTTGATCTTTTAAAGAGCACAAAAGATGAAAAACCTACATGGCATGTGCTTATAGCCAGTGGTCACTATCTGCACTGTACGGCAAGTTGACATCAATCTGATTAAAATTAATTCAGCTATCTTTACTCGCAAATATAGACCTCCCATAAAAAAGACTTTGCCAACTATCGAAAACACTCTTAATCCCGCCAGCCCAGAAGCCAGTGACGTCACAGTGACCAAATGGATATTATGAATGTTTATTCATAAGTTATCTATATACAGCCAGTGTGTATATTCATTAACGCCTGACTGATTCTATAATCCCCTGATTAAATAATGGTAGTCCCTGTGACGTCACCAGCCGTAATGTGTATATAGTAACCACTGGCTATAAGTACATAAAATCTAGTTTTATCATCTTATGTGGTCTTTAAGGCTAGATTTTATTGTTACATCGAGAAAACACCACATTGTTATACAAAATCCACCGGCTTAAATAGTTACTGCTAGTGAGTGCTACTGGTTCCAGTCTGTAGTATCATGTCAGACCTTTGATTAAATTGTGTAAGAAAATTTAAAAGCCATCACCCCATCAGATGAAGATTTGTAGATACAATTTTCTGAACAACAAACAGAATTATTCATTTGTACTTTAAACATAGCCAAATAGAGATGTTATCGGTAAGAATTTCTGTTAAGTACAGGAGGTGTAGTTAATTATAATGGATAAAAATGTTTGTTAACTGTAATATTGTAATCCTAATATTATGACATTATGTAGGATACCTATTTGTACAGTTTGTCTAAATATTACTGTATTATAATTTATGTAAACATTCTGTTGACTGTTACATTAAATCTGTCTATAGCAATTTGAATTTGGATTCATATTCTACTACAAATCAATTTATAACATATACTCTTCAAAAAAAGTAGGGGATATTCAGAAACAATAAAAAAAACTGCGGAAATGCACTGCTATTTTTATTAGAGGTAATCAGTGTATGTTAATAACAGGCCAATTGCCTACACATGAACATAAACAGTTCATATGGGCGGCTTATCTGACGTCCCCATTTCACTCGCAAAGAGATACACTGTCAAAAGTGAAAATGAGTAATTGCTCCACCAATTCGCAGACATTCAGCAATTCATCGTGGCATGCTCCTAATCAACCATTCAATCACGATTTGGGGCAATCTGACCCACTCCTCATGCAGTGCCACGGCCAGTTCTTGCAGTGTTGTCGTTTACTGATCATGTCCCAGACATGCTCTATAGGGGAAAGGTCAGGACTCATGGCTGGCCAAGGCATATGGACAATATGGTGACGCTAGAGGTAGTCATTCACAACACGAGCACGGTGGGCACGGGCATTATCATTTTGAAAGATGAAAACATCAACCTGCACGTTGAGCAAAGGGCAGAACTATCGGTGCCAGGATGTGGTAACGGTAGTACACACCAGTCCATTCTGCCAGTCATGGTGATTCCTCCCGACACCATAACAGACCACGCCCAAATCTGTCTGACGTTAACGTTAGCTAGCATGACGCTCATTTACACGTTCCTAAACGCGAGGACCCCTAGCGGTGAAACTCAGAGTAAATCTGGACTCATCTGAGAACATTACACACGCCCATCAACGATTACAGCAATTTCTACGCTGCCTACACCATTGACGCCTGTTTGCCATGTGCTGGTGAGTTAATGGAGGCACAACATGCGTTTGTAGCGCATGCAAATTGGCTGCATGTAGCCGATTTCTTATCGTTTGGGGTGTAATTCGAATTCCTGTAACTTGGTACAAGTTTACAGAAAGCTGATTGGCCGTTTGTCCTCGATTTCGCAGGACCTGTGTACGAATGCATCGATCCTGGGCTTGTGTAGTGGCTCTAGGACGACCTGAACGATTTGGGTAGAACGGATTTAACACGATTGGCAATGCAGTCTGATATGGCTTTGTAGCAAGAATTCAATAGCGTTATGGGCCTCCAGTTTTTTAAAAAGTGTTCGATTTTCCCCTGGTTTTGGAATACATGTGATCACACCTTGTTTTTGAGTCAGTGATAATTCCCCTGTATCTAGTGTGCAGTTAATAGATCTCAGGATAATCTTAGATAAATCACACCAAAAGAACTGAAAAAATTCTGAGGTGTAGCCATCTATGCCTGGACTTTTGTTTTGTTTCTGATTTTTCACGATAGTAGATAATTCGCTTATAGAAATTGGACCTTCAAGTGATTTACTAATTTCTGTTGATATTTTTTTTTCTAGAACAATTTACAAATTTATGTTACTGTTTTCTTAATCAACATCTTGATTGCTTTTGTATAGTTGTTCATAGAAGAATTTAACTTGTTTCAATATTTCGGTCTGGTCCGAAACTTTGCCCGATAGTTCAGTATCAATTTCTTGGATATTTTTGTTTGTATAATTTCTTTTTTCTAGACTGAGAAAATATGAAGTATTTCTCTCCCCTTCCTCTGTCCATTTTGCTCTAGATCTAACAATGATTCCTTCAATTTTCTTTTTCCTATGTTCTTCTAATTTTGAATTCAAATTTTGCAATTGTTCACATCATAAAGTTTGATGTTGTTGGGATATATATGTTGGTTTTGTTTTCAATTTCTTGCATTTCTGATATAATTTTTTGTTCAATCTCAGAATTCTTCCCTTTCCTATATGAAACAAATGATATGATTTTCCCTCTTAAATGTAAAAGCAACATTTCAAAGAGCAATTGGTCATCAATCGTATATTCAAGGTAATTAATTGTGGAAGCTTCAACAAATTCAAGACTGTATGGTGAAGCTGCATAAAACTCTTTGATAAAGTTGATATTTTCTTTGATCATCATTGTAACAAACAGCTCGTCATACAGTAAGAAATTGTTGAATTTCCAGTAACCTTTCGCTCTTTCATGTTACTAATAATAATCAGGGCAATGGAGATGGCAGAATAGTCAGTTCTATACACATGTTGGATATTAGCCTTCGTAATATGTGTTAGGAGATTTTCCGATGTCAAGAAAAAGTCTAGGGGCGCTCTTTTAATTGAATTACATCTATTCCATGTAAATTTGTTTTCGTTTTTGTGAAACAAACACCAGACATCAATTAATTTGTATTTCTGACACATATCTGTCAGCTCCATTTTTGCCCTCGGATTATTTACATGTTTATAGTTATATGTATCGAAAAATTGATTCAAGGTTAAATTCCAATCCCCACAGAGGAAGTATCTATCATTGTCAAACTGTTTTAGATTCATATAAGGTTTTTGCTAAAAGCCAGGACTATCCGAGTTAGGCCCATAAATATTGCCAAGTATAAATTTTATGTCATTTATCTCTCTACAAATATGTAGTTGCTATTGGTCCAGTCTTTTTTAACCTTACGTTTTTTATGTTCTAATTTATTCCCGAACAGATAGCCACTCCTCTCTGTTTAGAGGAATTACCACAGATTTCAATATCAGTATTTCCCCAATCCGCTGCTATATATATTTCTAATTTTTGTTCCAAGTGTGTATCCTGCAAGCAAATAATGTCTGTATTCTGCTGTTTGAGCATGTTAAATACATAAATGATATTACTTTAGCATTATGATCAGTGGCGGCCCCATTAATCTGGTCTGCCCTCTGTTTGCCCCCTTCAATAATTTTAGAAAATAAAAAAAAGTATTTGCGATACGTTTCGGTAATCAATACCTTCTACGGTGAATAAATCCCACATCCCCACTCAGTCATAAACTTGCATGTTGTAGAGCATTTCCGACATTTCAAAATTTTCTTGGCAAGGTCCCCAATGGACTCGCTACTTTGGCGCTCACAAGGGGAATTCATTGAGGTTCGCAAGTCCGTTCGTTTGTCATTTTGTTCTCTAGTCGGATAAACTAGTGATCAGGCGACGAACGGTATTTGGGAAGATCTATTTATCTCGACGATCGGTGCCTGACAGAATACTGTAAGACAGCATTTCCGGCAGTCATTTTTCAAAATTTTCTGGGGGAGGACTCCCTACTTTGACGCTCGTGAGTGGGCTTCGTCGTGATTCGCAAGTCCGTTCGTTTGACACTTTACCTCATTGATCAGTGTCTAAAATACTGCCAGGCTGTATTTCCGGCAACCTGTTTTTCAAAATTTTCTGGAGGAAGCCCCCTACCCCTAGTTAAAGTTCGTGCCTTTGCCCCCTTAACCTTGGACTTTGCCCCAGCTTTGCCCCTCCAATCACCAACGGCTGGCGCCGCCACTGATTATGATATTAATTATTTTCTATATTTTCCCAAATGTCACTTTCAATTAAAGTCACTGATTGTCATTTAAAAGCATTCTGAATCAATTGCAAACTGCAATATTGTGAAAGTTTAATGCCTAAGTTCATATCAGTTCCATTTAGTAGAATAGGCCATGTACTGAGATGGATTTAAATGTCATTTAGTTGTACCCCTCTTGTGGCAAGTTGTGGCCAGGTAATTATAGAGTCTAAAACTATAAATGTTGCTTCATTTTAAAATAAATAAAATTTGTTTCAACATTGATCTTTTTTTCACAATAAATAAAAATTATTATATTAAAATCGAATTCTTTTCTTTTCTGTAAGCGTAATACATTTTGAATATTAATTGAGCGTTAACAATGTTCAGTGTTAAAATCCATATGCCGGTCATGAGGTTAGAATTTCGACCAATCAAAAACAGTCTATGAATGACAAAATTTCATGGTGTGTGGTACAGCAATGATCATGCACATTTAGACTAATATAAAAAAATAAATACTGTTGAAATTAGAATACTCTTACTCAGTTGCCAGTCATGTTATCAGATAATCCCTTTTACCCCCAGTTATATTATGGCATCATAAATCCATATGATATAAAATTGAGGATCGAATTTGCCAATAATGAACATATTTTCCTTGGGAATTATGGTGTTATCTGTGCAGTTGGCACTGCAGTAATCGCATCTAGTGGACATTTGCATTTAATGCATCCTTTTTACAATTTGTTTTAGTGCCATTTATATAATAACCTACCTATTAGCTTTCTTTTTGTCATTAGAATTAGCTGCAGGTTTTTTTATCTTCTCTTTCATTTGTAGTTTGTTTTCTTTTCCATTGTTAAGTTTTCTACTTGGAGGTGGCGTCGGATCAGTAAAGTCATCTGTAAGAAAGTAATTTCACAACATTTGATATGACACATTGCCAACACAACAGGTATACATGTACCCTCTTTTAAAGGTATCGCAAATAACAGCATTTAAACAGACATTATGCAAGAGCTAAATTGCAGGTCTTTCTTTAGGCCTAAAATGTTATATAAATTATTAATTAGACATTAATTCACATGACAAGACCATAATCAATTTTTGATGACATTAGATGGCTACGATTTTAAGTTTAGATTAGAACAGTTTGACCATTTAAAGATTTAAATTTGCAAGAGCATCGATAACGCTGCAATATACGTCCACATTCCTGCTTTGCTACTTTTTTAAAATGAAGAGAATGAAATATGATATGGCTGCAAAGCTAGGTGTTGGGTTTGTTTTGCCAAATATACAGAGTAAATATTAACAAAAAAAGTGGGTGTGACACCACCCCATTTGGTCAGGGCATGCACCAAAATAAAAAGTTGATGTCTTCACAGTATAAGGAATAAATATGCAAAATTCCAAGATGATTCATTCCAAATTGCAGCCTGTAGACAATAAACACAAAAATTAGACGTGGCTGTCCCTGGGGGGTGGATATGAACAATGTAAATAGGTACCACCCTGTTATTGAAATGATTGAATTTGAACAAAATCTGTTAATAATTGCAACCTGTCGAGTATTTACAGACAAAAAAATTAACAAAAAGGTGGGTGTGGTACCACACTCCTGGGGGTCTTGACATTCACTAAAATAGTTGCTATCCTTACAGTATAAGGAACAAATTCCAAAATGATCTATTTAGTATATATTTAAGCCTGTAGACCATAAAAAAAAAAAAAATAAAAAAAAAAGTGGGCGTGGCTCTGCTCCTGGCATCTTTAGGCTATAAGGAATAGATATACCAAGTTCCAAGACGATCCATTAAGAATTGTTGCCTGTAGGCAGCACACAGACAGACACACAAAGAAAAGTGGATGTGGCTCAGCCCATGGGGGTCGACATTCACCAAATACAATAGAGATCATCCTTAGGGTATAAGGAATAGGTATGCAAAGTTTCAAAAGGATATGTTAAGAATTGCAGCTTATAGCCGACGTACATACATGCACGAAGATAGGGCATGGCTCTGTCTCAGGGGGTTGGGCATGCACTAAATATAAGAGAGGTCATCCTTAGGCATAAGGAATAAGTATGAAAGGTTTTCAAGACGATCCATTAAGAATTGTTGCCTGTAGGCGAAAATGGGTATGGCTCTGCCCCTGAGCATTAGGCATGCCCCTCAAACAATAGGGGTGTTCCTTAGGATATAAAGAATAAGTATGCATAGTTTCAAAATGATACGTTAAGAAATGTGGTCTGTAGACGACTCTGCCCCTGGGGGTCGGGCATGCACCAAAAACAATAGGGATCATCCTTAGGGTATAGGGAATAAGTAAGTAAAGTTTCAAGACGATCACTTAAGAATTGTGGCCTGTAGGAGACAAACACACAGAGACAAGGGTGACAGCAATATATGTCCACTTTATGAACATGGACATACAAAAATAACAAAGATAGGTTGCCAGGCAACGAAACATGCGCCCACAGCAGCTAAATTGTCCGGGCAGTTAACAAGAGTTGTCGCATATTTTTACTTTTTTCGGTAATGAAACATTTATAATACACTAAAATCTGATTAAGAGCAACAACTCATGAAGTAATTATCAGAAAACCATTAGAATTTGTTTGGTTTTTATAAAGTTCTGCCCCATGTTAACGTTTTGTATACAAAACTTTTAATATCATGGATTTAGCTTTTCAAGTCTCAAGATCTTAAACTCTGTGTATCAATCTGAAGTCAATCGGATCATAACTTTAGCTTTTAGAGTGTCACAAAGTGATCAAGGGCCATAACTTTAGCAGTAATTATCAGAAATCGCTGAAAAGCAACAGGCTTCTTCGTCTCATGACCTCAAACACTGTGTATAAATTTAAAGTCAATCGAATATTAACTTTGGCCTCTAGAGCGTCCACAAGATTTCTAGAAGTAATCAAGGGCCATAACTCTGGCAGTAATTATCGGAAATCGTTGAAAATCAATAGGTTTCTTAAGTTCGTCTCATGACCTTAAACACTGTGTATAAATTTGAAGTAAATCGGATATTAACTTTTGTCTATAGATCGTCTACAAGATTTTTTGAAGTGATCAAGGGCCATAAATCTGGTAGTAATTTAATCGGAAATCACTGAAAAGCAAAAGGCTTCGTCTCATGACCTTGAACACTGTGTATAAATTTAAAGTCAATCGGATATTAACTTTAGCCTCTAGAGCGTCCACAAGCAATTGTGGACGCTGGACCGCTGGCCGGACGGGTGCGTCGACAATATTCGATCACATTTCAATGTGAGTGTATAAAAATATAGACTCCATTGAATTCACTAGCAATTTTTGACATATTTTCTGCAAATAATTGATGAATCTCTTTCAAATTCTGGTTGGAAGACTGTGATTGCAATATACAGCACATTTTATGTGATAAAATACATTTCTTTCAGAATATTCCTTCTGTTTTCAAATTTAATAAAGTCTGAATTATGATTGTCCACTAATTAATATCTATTGACCTATACTGAGTATACTGCCAATGATGCAATGTTTCTAACTAAAACAAGACAACATTGAGGCTGATGTCCCCCGTTGAAATCCCAAAATAAATAGATGACACATTAATTAATCACACATTTATTTTTTTCAAAAGTATCGAGCAATCAAACTGATTATCAACTATACACTAAGTTTCATCACTCTCTATCAGATAGAATCAAATTGCTTATCTCTGCTTACTCTAAGCAGAAAATTCTCATCTTCAAACTCCATCAAGGCATTCACCTAATAAACACCTACACCAAGTGTGAACATTTTAGCTCAACTAGAAAGTAGAGTTATTGTGTTCCAAATTCTTGACCAATCAAATTGCTTATCGCTCTGCTTACCCTAAGCAGAAAATGCTCAATATCAAACTCAGTCAAGGTATTGATATAATGAAACTATACACAAAGTTTCATCACTCTCATCACTTAATTACATGTAGAACAAAAGTTATCGTGTCCCAAAGCATCAACCAATCAAATTGCAGTTTGAACATTCTAGCTTAATTAGAAGGAGAGTTATTGTGTCCCAAAAAGTGTGATGGACAGACGGACAAAGTCATTTTAATAGTCCCCTGCTTTCTTTGAAAGGCGGGGGACAAAAATTAAATAGGATATATACATGTAACTCACCATCATCATCATCATCACCTATATTTGAATAACTGACCACACTTTTAGATCTAAAAAAATTACATATCTTTAATCAACATTATAAATATGCCTTAAAATTTATGAATGACTTAAATAAAATGTTATATAGGGAGGATGTGGTCATAACAATCAAGGATTAAAACTCAAGTCCGCTTTACAGAAATGTGGTTTACAACAAAAGTGAAACTCAACAAAAAAATTAATGTTTACTACATTTACCATAATCTACATAAAAGACAAAAAACAAAAAAACAAAGTTAAAAACAAATCATAAAACCACAAAATGTGAAATATCTTTGATCATGTTGAACTCTTCTGTATTTTCGCCTTACCAATAAATCATATACGCACTTGAGTGTTTTCAATTTTAAAGATATGGTGTAATTGGAGTGATAAATACTGTATCCTTTTTTACAATGATACTATAGTGAATTTCTAATCATTTGATTGATTCATGAGTACAACTGATTAAAACACAGATCCTATTTAGTTTTTATATTACTCTATACTATACGAAAAATATTTAGTTCAAAAGGTGAATGAAGAATTAAAACTTTAAGATGTTAACAAGAAATGACGTCATCGACCAAAATAGACCAATATTAGACATTGATGGAAACTTTTTTGTTTTTCAACCAATTTGAATGAGGTTTTCACCAATTTGAATGCGGTTTTCACCAATTTGTAGCTGTTTGTATTTCTCAAATTTTATTCATGGACATGGCCCAATTTTAAGATAAAAAGTGAACAGAGTGAAAATTCTGAGCGCAACTTTTTTATTTTTGAAGATTTCGACTTGAAACTTTCATATGGGTGGATTAAGCAAAAAATGTCAACAAAAATTTTCTGATTATCTCCCCTTTGAAGATGAAGTCAGATTTTCAACTTCTTTAATTTTGCCTTATTTAAAAATATTTGTCAATACGAGTTGTCTATCAACTTTTAAGAGTAATCTAATAAAGTTAAAATACATTGTATAATAAAGCATTGTTATTATTATTATATTGACTATCTAACTCTAGAGTGTATTGTGGTCACGTGACCCCCACTGACGTAATGTTAACGTTATGGGGCGTCACTGGAGACCGGCCGCCATGTTTCAACCGGGAAAGAATGACGGAGGGCGGACAAGCCCATTAAAAATACAATTCAAATTCAGAGAGAGAGAGAGAAATGGGGTTTAACGTCCACTCGACACAAACTAGGTCATTTTGGGACTAACAAATGTTTCGATTTTATTTCAATAATTCGCTTGCGCATAGGGGTCTTTAGTAGCGGGAGGAAAACTGAGAACCTGGCAAAAACCCTTGAGGTTTGACAGGCGACCCTATTCCTTTTCACATACAACCGCGGAATCGTTACAACACCAGTTAACTCAATGACAGACCTTAGGATGCAGCGCGCACATCCGAATGTCAATAGATTGATATTTTGGGAAAGCATTCACTATTCGCAATCGATTGTCGCAGTGGAAATTTTATAATTGACATCGATTTTTTTAAAGTGACATCATAAAATTGAAGTTTTTTCATAAAAGTATAAGACTTTGAAATCAAGTAAAATGTCACTGTCAAACGATAAATTGAGTTATTTGGGGCATATTCTGAAAGTTTTATCAAAATTAGTTTATAAACAAAGGTGAAACAGTGAAAATAAGTCATTTGAGTATGTAATTGTTTGCCATTGAATTTATATAACAGGTCTTTTGTCTACATGATGTCTTCTAGAATACCATTAAAGAAGATTTGCAGGTGTTAACAACAATTGAGTCTTTTTATTTTTATTTTTTCAAAAGAGCCATGGTGGTTCAGTGAGTAAGGTGTGGGCTCGCTAAAAAGAAGGTTCGCTATAGGTATTGCTCGAGACAGTTCCTTGTGGTTTCCTCATGTCCCTGGTGCAGATTGGAGGACCTGGAAAGGTACAATGTTCAGCCTTTCAGATGGGACAAAAATTGTGGTCCCGTGTACACATTGCCCTGCAGCAAAAGGAACCCTTGGCAGTTTAAATTCGAAATACGAGTAGACCATCAATTTTTACCCGATTTTAAAAAACGTTTAAATATACCACCATTACACCATAATGCATAATGATGGTTGAGTTTGAATTTCGTAAAAATTGAATCGAAACTGCCCGACAGAATGGCCACTAGCTCCTTGTACGCAAATAGTGTAAAAGTATGTAATACCAAGGTTGTGGACCCCCCAGAGGTCACAATTTTTATCTGATTTTGATGAAACTTAAAATATATTTACATCCCGAAGATCTAAATTCCTGTAGATTCACGCATATCGGACCATAACTTCCTGGATTATTCCCCCTGATTGTACAAAAAATCGTTTCTTTGCTTGAGCTTGTTCTCTGTCCATCTCTTGAAAAATGTGGGCGTATCTTGCATGGCAACCGCTTGTTTAAAAAAAATGTCAAACTTTGTAATCGGGTAAAATGTTGATGGTAAACGATTAACTAAGCCATTTGGTGCTTATTCCGAAAGTTTTCCAACCAGTCTGTAATCATATTTGTTTTGGGACTGTCTGACAGATTTTAATAATCCTTTTTCTCTTTAATATTCTTGAAAAAAACAAACAAAACCCAGGACAACAAAAACATGCTACTAAATGTTAAGTTAATGTATAAGTGTATGACTGGGTCGTATAAAAACTATCAAACCTGTTTCGAGAACAGGTCTATTTCATTTTGTTTTTTTCTAATTCAAAATTTCGTTTTACTTGTCTTTACTACACTAGGATCTGGAAGAGTTGTTATATAACCCGCATTCTGGATGATGTGAGGGATTAGCCAATGAAACGATCTGTTACGGCGGGCTTGAGGTCGTGCATGGAACTGTGGGTAACCTACTAGAAACATCATTGCTGATTGGTCAATCCTGATGTCATAGGGTCAAAAGCCGCTCATAATACCCCTGACGCAACCTTCCACAACAACCGGTCAAATCTACATGTAGAGGCCATAGAAAGTATAAAGATAGGTTGCCAGGCAACAAAACATACGCCCACAGCAGCTAAGTCGCCTAGGGGGATCAACAAGGGTTGTCGCATATATTTTTCTTTCATCAGAAATGAAAACATTTACAACACACTAAAGTAAAATCTGATTACGACTAACAATTCATTTGGCTTCTAGTTCTGCTCTATTCTAACATTTAGCATACAAAATATTTAATATCAATTTCCATAACCATTGGAAATGGTTGAAATTTGACAGGCTTCTTCATCTCATAACCTTAAACACTGTGCATAAATTTTAAGTCAACTGATACCTTTAGCATCTAAAAAATCCACAAGATATTTCAAAGTGATCAAGGGCCATAACTCTGGCAGTAATTATCGGAAATCGTTGAAAATCATTCAGATTCTTCGTCTTATGACCTTAAAGTAAACAATGTGTATACATTTAAAGTAAATCAGATATTAACTTTAAATTCTGGAGCTTCTACAAAAATTTTCAAAGAGGTCAAGGCCATAACTCTGGCAGAAATAGTTGAAAATCAATAGGCTTCTTCGTTAATATACAACCACATTTCAATGTGGGCGTATAAAAAAAATGAAATGAAATATAGATCTGTAATTTAATAAGATTAATCCCTAATTAAGTACTTCAGACTCTTCAATTATGTTATTTCATTTGAAGTAATATGAGTTGAACCTTGAGCCAATTTTTTTTGATTTTTGACATGTAAATTTTATTGTATTAGTTTCATTTCGATGATCATCTATTGCATGCTGATATCAAAGTCAAACTATTAGCCAGTTATAAAATATCTTTAAGATATTTGAAAAGTAAAAATTGTCAGGTAAAAATGTCATCTGAAAAAAACCAAGCCATTTAATAGATAGGGGGCAAGGGAGCAGGTCTTTTCATCCCACAACCGTTTCACCCTGGGCTGTTTCATCCCAAATTTACAATTAGTACAAGAAATGTGTGCGGTTTTTTTAAATATTTACATCAAATAAATAAATAAATGAATATAGCGTTTAATCAGGCTTCGAATAGTCACCTTAGTAACTAACCTACCCATCATTTATAATTTTCCACATCATACATGTACATTATCCATGTAGGTACAAAAACATGATTAAATTGTTTTGGTCCTTATTTTCATCCATTTGAATATCGTAATATAAAACCGTTTCATTTCTTCGACATCGACAGGTCTAAAAAATTGCGCGAATCGACGAATAGCTTAAAGTCTGTGACTCGCACATTTGTACAATTCCATTATCTGAATTGATAGATTAATTCACCGCCAAGTAAAACCTACATCTGAAATCATGCTTTAAATTTAATATATGGCCAATGACTCTGACGTGTAGAATTCAGATTCTAATATATCCTTATATTAAAATTGACTATCAAACACGACGTCTCACTTGTACATGAGACTATTCTATTATTAACCATGTGCAGAGCTGGAATAACGCTTGATGCAGCCGTCAAACGTTTAGATGACAAATTTGGAGGTCAACGTCGCTCAGTATTGATACATTTGGACACAATTCGTCAAATGCGTACGGTTAATTTTAATGATTTGAAGAACTTTGAAAATTTTGTTGAGAAATTAGAACTAAGTATAATCGCACTTCAAGAGAATGGTCGAACGGAAGAATTTGAAGAAAATTCAATGTTTTGGTAGCAGAGCGTGGTTTTATATAGGACTTATTAGAACTGTAAGTACACTATTTTCATTTCGTGCGTGGTTATAGACTCTATTATTATATGTGCTTATTTGAACTTAATTAGTGTAAACAATCAAATTCAGAAATGGCAGATTCGAAGAATACAAATAATCCCAACGAAAACGAAATATTAACAGCGCTTTTGAAAAAGAGACGAATGGCCAACAGCCAGCTGGCAAAGGCGCGAATAAATTTAACTTTGGCTTTAGCATGCAATGTGTATGACATAAACGAAGACGACATAAGATCTGCATTGCGATTTTTAATGGCTAGTCAAGAGGAGGCAATTTGTGTGTTAACAGAACTTACTAGTATAGATAGTGATAGTTTCGAAT